ATTACATTTTTATTACTGATAGTTAATATTTATTATTTATTTGTTATATTTATTATTTGTTTAGTATATTTATTCTTGTATTTCAACTTTCATTATTTTTTACTATTATATTGTAAATGATAATCAAAAGATGAAACAGACGGTCATTCATGATAATAAATTGTTAGGTGATAAAACATTTTACAACCCCTTGTTTTACAGTAGGTATGTTCTTAGTGATTCAGTACATGTTAGTACGATGTTTCGCCACCTACTGGCATGTTTGTCAACCTCTTGTTGTGACAAGACTCAAGTATTTCCGGATCAGCTCCAGATCGGGATTTTTGAGCAAATCTATATCACTTCGCGATTTCCATATCAAAATAATAGTTGTTAACTTATATATTGTTTAAGTGAATAAAGAAACTTTGAAGACAGTATGGCTACGTTGGAAGATAAGTCCATATGGGAGGATGGCGAGGTATTTAAGTGCATTGGTTAAAGTATAGGTTAAGTTTCTCACTGAATGACAAGCATTTATTTCGTAAACAGACAATGATTTTAACGATTTTAACAAAGACGTGAGCAATTAGATTTAGTTTTCGATCGATTTATCGTTTTTATATTACGTACAGAATACTTTTAAAAAAGATTTAGTTTTTTGTACTGTCACTTTTTTAAGGATAACGCTATTTCTGCAGTGATATACGTGTCTTGGCACTAGCGAACGATAAAAATGTTTTGTAACTTTTGCAGGAAACTCTTCGCGAAGAAGTTCTTCGCATGTCGACAGATGAAATAGTATCGCGTACACGTTTGATGGACAATGAAATCAAAATAATGAAGAGCGAGGTGATGCGCATCTCACACGAACTCCAAGCCCAGAACGACAAAATCAAAGAGAATACAGAAAAAATAAAGGTCAACAAGACGTTGCCCTACTTGGTTTCAAACGTTATCGAGTTGCTCGACGTCGATCCACAAGACATGGGCGAAGAAGACGGAGCTGTTGTCGATTTGGATGCTCAACGCAAGGGCAAGTGTGCTGTGATCAAGACATCAACCCGTCAGACGTACTTTCTTCCAGTGATAGGATTGGTGGACGCCGAGTCTTTAAAACCAGGTGACCTTGTGGGAGTTAACAAAGACAGTTACTTGGTTTTGGAGACATTACCTGCTGAATACGATGCTAGGGTCAAGGCGATGGAAGTTGACGAACGTCCGACGGAACAGTACTCTGATATTGGTGGCCTTGACAAGCAAATTCAGGAACTCATTGAAGCTGTCGTGCTTCCCATGACCCACAAAGAAAAGTTTGAAAACTTAGGAATCCAGCCACCAAAGGGTGTCTTGCTTTATGGACCACCAGGTACCGGGAAGACCTTGCTGGCAAGAGCTTGTGCAGCACAAACAAAATCCACATTCTTAAAGCTAGCTGGACCTCAGCTGGTGCAGATGTTCATTGGTGATGGTGCCAAACTTGTCAGAGACGCCTTCAGTCTTGCAAAGGAAAAGGCTCCTGCAATCATTTTCATTGATGAGTTGGATGCTATTGGTACCAAAAGATTTGACTCTGAAAAGGCCGGTGATCGTGAGGTCCAAAGAACCATGTTAGAGCTCCTGAATCAATTAGATGGTTTCAGTTCTACAGCTGATATCAAAGTCATTGCTGCCACTAACAGAGTTGACATCTTGGATCCAGCTCTACTCAGATCAGGAAGATTAGATAGGAAAATTGAATTCCCACATCCAAATGAAGAGGCGAGAGCGAGAATCATGCAAATCCACTCAAGAAAAATGAACATGTCGCCTGATGTTAATTTTGAAGAATTGGCCAGAAGTACAGATGATTTCAATGGAGCTCAATGCAAAGCTGTTTGTGTTGAAGCCGTAAGTTTAGGCGTTATATAAAATTTAAAGTTCAATAATCGTACTAAATAAATAATGAAAATAATCGTTTTAGGGTATGATTGCTTTGCGTCGTAATGCTGTTGCAGTAACGCACGAAGACTTGATGGAAGCAATCAACGAAGTACAAGCTAAAAAGAAAGCCAATCTTAATTACTACGCCTAATTTGTTGATATTGATATTTTTATTTTAAAAAAATAAGACATTTTATAACTTCTTATACTGTATAAATAAAATTAAAATAAAGTATTTGTGAAATTAAAATACGAGTTTGTTAACAAATTTAATTTTACTGACATTACTGTTTTTTTTTTTTTCGTTTTTTTTACATAATTGAAAATATTTGAATATTACTTTTCACAAGTTGTATAAAATATAACATTATTCAGTTTTGTAGTAATTATACTAAATAAGATATACATAAAGGAATTAAGACAAAATTTCACTTAAATCTATTGAATTTTGATTTTCCTATCGCCTCCTACCGCTCCTTCTTCTTTGCCTGAAAAATCAAAATTGTTGGCGTAAATAGGAAAGCATTTCTTGTAATACATAATACAATAAAAAAAAAGAGAAACTAACTTTTTGGGTCCTTTGACAAAGCACCAATCTACTCCGATTGGCTGTCCAAGAATTTCTGTGCCATTCAAAGCTTCTTTAGCTGCAAGGGCTTCTTTGTACGTTTCATACTCAACGAGAGCATAACCTTTGAGAAAGCCTGTTCTTCTGTCGAGATTTAGATGCAAATTCTTGATCTGCCCAAATTCAGAAAACTTGTCCTGAATGTCATCTTCTTGAGCTTCTTCGTGCACCGATGTAATAAATAAAATCCAACCCTCTACAGCTATAAACAAAGAGTAAAATTTTTACTTACCATTCCTTATTCATGGTAAAATAAAGTATAAAATTGACAAATATTTACATCTCTGTGGACCAGGCTCGTTGTCATCCTCAACTACGTGCATGGACTCGTAATGACCAACGTCATCTTTTGTGGAGACAAGTTCTGCACCGTGCCCACGACCTTTTCTCTTTTTTGCCTTCTCCTTCAACCTTGCAATTCCCTCTGAGGTAACAAAAAACAAAGATGCATTTATTGGTGCAATGTATAATAGAAAATGAAAAATGTTATTTTTAGGTTAATCAGGAAGAACAGTAAACTATAAATAAAGTATAACACTCACGGTCCCCCTCGTCGTCGACCTCGAACTCTTCCGCATTGTCGAGCTCCAAAACATCAGCCATCGTCACAGGATTTAAAGTACCTCCTTATAAAACAACAACCAAGTATTTTACAACTTTATTCGACAACCGACAACAAAACAGACGGCGTGAGTGGGGATGGGGGTGCCAGCAATGACGACGACGCTGCTGCTGCAGCAGAGGGTCGTTCACTTTAAATAAAATGGCGGTAAAATTTAAATGTGTTGGCCCGGCGCTCACTTGTCCTTCAAACTTTTTCCCGGTGAAAATTTTTTTGTTATAATGTTAAGGCAAAACAAAAACAAAAAAAACACAATTAGGTTAGGTACAAACTTTTGGCAAAAATGTCTTGAAATTCCAGTTTAAAATGTTTCGGTGTATTTATTATGATCAGAGTAAGTGATAACATTCGTTTCGTGTTGTTTATATTAGGAAAATAAATAAATAAACAATGAGATAAACAGAAGTAAAACATGTTTGGAGTTTAGAATGGCAACAGATCCGATGAGCGAAGCCAAGCCAAGTAGTTCCAGTAGAAGCGAGGAAAATGCCAGTGGGGAAAAAAAGTTAACTGTTCTGGAGTCGCACGGCTACACGCTTGGCAAAACCATCGGTGTCGGAACTTATGCCTCCGTCAAAGTATTTTTAACGTTACATATTGCATACACATAAAATCCATTAACGAATTACCCTACATTTTTTGTATTTCACTGCTAAAAAATAAATCCAACAACGGTCTTTCGATCGATAATTGGAAAGCGTAAAGTGCTTTTCCCTTTCAATTTCCCGTCTCCTTGTCTGTTCTCGTGAAAAACGTCACTCGACCCAATACCGCAACGACACCAAGTATATACTTAACGTTAAATTTTCAGATCGCTCAGTCTGCTAGACACGGCCGAGTGGCAATAAAAATTGTATCGAAATTCCAAGCTCCCAGCTCGAACCTGAACAAATTCCTCCCGCGCGAAATTGAAGTCGTCAAGGGCTTACGGCATCCAAATTTAATTCGATTTTTACAAGCGATCGAAACAACGCACAGGTGAACGAAAAATAAAATTAAAACAACATCACTCTCGCGAGATCACAAATATTACGTGTCAGGGCCTGCATCCTTTTGCACCCGAAATAATGTTCATGTTTTCTTGGGTCAAAAAATTTTTAATGACTATAAATATATAACGATGCAACATAATTTATTATGCACGAGGTGGATTCTCGTTAAGAAAATGTTCATGCAGTAGCACATGCAGGCCCATACTTACTAACTGGAATGTGACAATAATTGTAGAGTTTACATAATAATGGAGTATGCGGAAAACGGGAGTTTGTTGGACGTAGTGCGACGCGACAAGTACATTGACGAGGAGCGCAGTCGACGCTGGTATCGGCATTTGTTGCTTGGGCTCGACTACTGTCACGAGAGAGGAGTCGTTCACAGGTAACGATCGATAAATCATCACCACTGCAATGGATAATTATTCATCTGTTGATCATTACTAGCTTTAAGTCCTTTCACTAAGATCGAGGTAAACGCTTTGACCGGTATTAATCCGGTTTTTTTTTTTTCAAGTAACAATTATCGAAACAATTATTCATTCCAAGGGGATGAGCTGTAGTATTCGAGCTTCGAGTCCGTGTCCGTCGGCATTTAGAAATTTTACTTTTCAACAAAGTTTTTTCGTGTGTATGCGCAGGGACGTCAAGTGCGAGAATCTGTTGATGGATCGGCACTACAACCTGAAGCTGTCGGACTTTGGCTTTGCTCGAAACCAGATGCAGCCAAACAACGGAGTGGTGGCCCTTTGCGAGACCTTTTGCGGCAGTTTTGCTTACGCGTCGCCCGAAATCCTTCGGGGTATACCCTACCAGCCGCAACTGTCGGATACCTGGTCCTCGGGCGTAGTGCTCTACACTATGGTCTTTGGCATGTTGCCCTTCGACGAAACCAACTGGTCGAAACTTCTAAAGGTACCTGCTAAAGGTATACCTATTCAGCCGGAATACCTTTACATTCACCGTACGATAACTCTGTGTAGCTCCAATCGATTATATTATTATCAATGTCGTTGAGAAAATTTGAGTGTGCACGCGTACACTTGAAATCGTTATTCAAAATTAGAAGTGTCAATGATACGTGTGTAAAGCAAATAAGGTGAAAAATTACCTGTATATAAACGCGAAAGAAAATTCAGCAGGTGCAGAGCAAGGTAGAGTTTCCAAAATCGCCGAAAGTGTCGGATGGCTGTCGCAAGTTGATCTTGCGGATTCTCGTGCCCCAAATGACGCGTCCAAAGATCACGGAGATTTTGAAGGACCCGTGGCTGGCCGTACCGACTGCGACAGCTCAAACGTCCATAGATGAGATTTACGTTGTGTGTTGAAATCCTGAAAACAAGCTCCCAACAGCTTCGTCGTGAATTATTTATAACATGTTCTTCGTTTCAGGGAAAGGCATCGACCAGTAGATCGTCGAGTAAGGTGGAGCACAAGAAGTCACAAAAATCGAGAAGAAGCAGCAAAATCATGAGTAACGAAGATTCGTCCAAGGAAAAACGGTTTAAATCCGAGAAAAACGACGAGGAGAAAAAAATCGATAACTAACTCTGCACTGTATGCTGAAAAATTAAAAAAATGGCAAAATTTTATACATTATGCGGTAACTGAAACTTACGTCGCGATTATAAATAAACCAACGAATTTTTTATAAATATATGTTTTTTATTTCTGTTTATAACATCATACTATTATCTGGTACTTTAGTATTTGTAATAACTTTAACAAGACACAAATATTAGTCCTTCAAGGTACCAAAATTCGTGTCTCGTTTACTATGTACATTAAAACTTTTCATGACTATATTCGAGACAAAATACACCTGCCAAGGTTATTAACATCCCTTGTAATTAATATGTTTCAGCACCTTGATAACATGCTAAAAGAAAAAGATCAATAAGCCTATTATGCTAGCACTATTTTCGGATGCTACTTGAAAGGATGTTTTGATACAATGCTGACATATATTTCACAAAAATTTCTTTTTAAGTACTGAATATAGGAAACTAAGACTTTTTTTGAAGACTTGAGTTTTTAATGTACGCAATGTAAAAATATTTTTATGAAATAACAAAGTTAAAAATTAACATAATCCCGCACAGCTTGTCATTACCATAAGACGTACTTGTGTAAATATTCTGTAGAAAAAAAGTTTTTACAAATATATAAATCTATTTTAACAAATAATTGTTCGGTTTTTGGTTCCTGTAGGAAACTTTTTTTGTAACAAAGCACTAAATGCAATATTTCGGAAAACAACTGCTATGCGATTCGGTAACGGTTCAAGAAAATACTTTGCTTTTCATATTTTTCTTATAGCAAGGCTAGCTTCGTAATCGAAACCTCGCGTAAATGAGTAGCAATATGGTGCTGAACATAAATAACCCTGGTGCTGTCATCTTATTGGTGTCCTCCTCGTCCTCTAGAAAAAAATTTGTTATTTTGTAAACTGATAAACAATATTTTTTAAACTTATAACTTTTCACATACCAGAAGCGACCTCAGTCTCCCAATCAAGACTTCTTTCAATACCTTTTTTCCATTCAGAATAAAGTATATCACGTTCTAAAAAATATTGTTTTGCTGACAAAGTGTGAAATTTATTAATTTAACAGTATTTAATTTATCGTCTATTGCATTCATACCGTTCTCCGATATTGCTGGAGTAAAAGTATCACTTGGTACATTAGCACCTACGTTAATATCCCATTTTTTAATTCCTTCTGCAGAGCCAGCTGCGATTGCAACTCCTAGCGCAGTTATTTCACACATCACAGGTCTCACTATAACGTAAAAGTATCGTGGCTATTTTAAAGATTTATAAAGCATATTTTGATGAACTATTGAACACCTTGGAGTTGAATGAATATATATTTAACTATAAATTTACTAAGAGCATATATGTACGTTTGTACATTTGTTGTTTCTACTAACCTACTGGTACGCCACAAATGTCGGCTTGCATCTGCATAAGAGCATTATTACTTGTCATAGCACCATCGACCAATAATTTGGTTAAAGTCATGCCAGTGTCTTCTTTCATGGCTTCAAGAATATCACGAACTTGGAAACAAACTGACTGGAGTGCTGCTTTTACAATGTGACCATAATTAATATCTTCTGTGATACCACAGATAACACTGGATGTTTTTATATCAAGATTAACTTAGCTATGTAATTCACTTGTATTTTATAATGCTTGAACAATTCAATTACCTTCTAGCATCTTTTCGCCAATAAGGAGCATAAAGACCAGAAAAAGCGGGAACAAAAATAATTCTATTATCTGTACTGAGTTTTTCAATAATAGTTTCAGTTTCCTTCACATCAGATATCACTTCAAGATTTTCTTGTAACCATCTGACAATAGCTCCAGCTATAGCAACAGAACCTTCTAATGCATAAACAGGATCAGCATTTGGCCCAAACTGATATGCTACTGTTGTCAATAAACCATGAGCTGATTCAACAATCTGCATTCAACAATCATCTATTTTCATAATACGATTTTTTTAGATGGTTTTGAAAAACGAAATGTAAAAAAAAATTACTTTAGTTCCAGTGTTGTATAAAAGGAAACATCCAGTTCCATAAGTACTTTTGGCTTGGCCATGCTGAAAGCACATTTGACCAACAATAGCAGCTTGTTGGTCTCCCAAGCACTGTTATTAATATACAAGGTATAAGCTTCATGACAAAGTTGATATAAAAATAAATATTCATCTGATAACTACCCCTGATATCGGAATACCCTGTAAAACTCCTTCATCTATGTTGCCATAGATTTCAGATGAACTACGAATTTGCGGCAGCAGACTTTCAGGAATCTCAAAGAAAGACAACAAATATGGATCCCATTTCAAACTAACAAGATTCATTAGCATTGTTCTAGAAGCATTTGTTACGTCTGTACAGTGGACTCCTCCTTTAGCTCCACCTGTCAAATTCTGCAATTGAAGTTTGAAAGAATTACTGTGAATACAAAATATGTTACAACTTATTAAAATGCAAAAAATTATACCCATATTAGCCAAGAATCTACAGTTCCAAACATGCATCGATTATCTTTGATGGCCTCTTGAATTTCACGTACATTTTCCATGAGCCATTTCAACTTTAATGCACTAAAATAAGGACTTATTGGTAAGCCACAAAGAGATTTGAGATAATCTTTGTTGTGATTCCTAACTTTTTTCAAGATTGCATCAATAATTGTGGTGGTTCTCATATCCATCCAAACTGTGTAAAATTATTTTTTTCAATTTGTGTCTTTCTAATGTCAAACGAAAGAATTATTTAATAAATCATAACCAATAGCATTGTACAACGGCTTTCCAGTTTGACTATCCCAAACAATAGTTGTTTCTCTCTGGTTCGTGATTCCAATAGCAACAATATCAGCTGGATTAATCATCAGCTGTTTTAAATTTTCTACAGTTTGATTGAGACATTCATGAACAGCTTCTAATATTTCCATTGGATCTTGTTCAACCCATCCTTCTTGAGGATAAGAAAGTTTCAACTTCTTTTGATGATATGTCAAAACCTCGGCAGTATTGGCTGTAAATACCTTAATCAAAAATAGATAAAAGTCTTTTACTTATCATTAATATAATAAGAGTATTATTTATCCAACACTCAAACAAAATATGATGGTTTGAAAAAAAAAAAGTTTAAAAAAAACCTTTCCAAACGTCCACCCTAGAAATACAATATATTAAAAAACTTTAAAATTACCAGGAATCTTGCACTACTTGTACCCTCATCGATCGCTCCAATGAGTGGCCCATATCTATTTCCACCAGTAGTTTTTTCAAACATGTTATCAGTCATTTAAACTGTATTATTTTTTTATGCAAACTTCTGTTAAACCACTGGAAAATATAAAATGTAACGAGAAAAAAAAAAAATGGAAAATTTTTAACGTAAAACACACTAAAAAATAACCTAGTCAAAGATTCTTCAGTTACTCACGAACTTAGATAGCAACTCGAGAGATTTCACAGTAATTACAGTTCACATACAATAACTAACAATAAACATACTTTTTCTCTTGTGCAATTTAATTAATTGATGTATTCAAGTTAAACATTATATTTTCAATAAGTATCATAACACCGCTACTTAAAACACGTACGTGATTTATCTATGTATATTATAAAATTTTTATAAGCCTTATAACATGAGTAGATCATTTATACTTTTACAGGTCAATTTTTAGCTAAAAATAGATTGTAAACTTGCCGCAAATAGCTCAAACAATGTAAACATTTTATTATCTATCTACACAATTAGTTGCGGTTGGTTTATAGTTAATAAAGTGGCTCTACTGTACGTATAGTAATAGTTATTTGGATCAGCGCCATCTAGCAGACACTATTTTTTGGCCAAAAGTGGCCCCTAAAATTCTCAATCAGAGCAATCACGATTAGAGCCATTTAATAAATTATAAACCAGCCGCAACTTCTTTTGTAGACTATAAAATGAAAAAATAACGATACGTGTGTTTTTGGCGGCAAGTTAATGATTTATCTTATGCTCAAAAATTTATCTCTAAAAGTATAAATACAAAGGAGGTCGATTTTTTGTAGAAAATAGATTGTTAACTTGCCGCCAAAAACACGTGTATTGTTATTTTTTCATTTTATAGCTTCATCATGAGTTGCGGCTGGTTTATAATTGACTAAATGGCTCTACAATAAGTAATAGTAATAATTATTTGGATCAGCGCCATCTAGCGGTCTTCATTTTTGAGCGAAAAGTGGCCTCTAAAATTCTCAATCAGAGCAATCAGGATTAGAGCCATTTAGTCAATTATAAACCAGCCGCAACTCATGATGAAGCTATAAAATGAAAAAATAACGATACATGTGTTTTTGGCGGCAAGTTAACAATCTATTTTCTACCAAAAATCGACCTCCTATGTATTTGTACTTTTGAAGATAAATTTTCGAGCATAAGATAGATTGTTAACTTGCCGCCAAAAACACATGTATCGTTATTTTTTTATTTTATAGCTTTATCATGAGTTGCGGCTGGTTTATAATTGACTAAATGGCTCTAATCCTGATTGCTCTGATTGAGAATTTTAGAGGCCACTTTTCGCTCAAAAATGAAGACCGCTAGATGGCGCTGATCCAAATAATTATTGCTATTTACAGTAAAGTCACTTTATCAATTATAAACCAGCCGCACCTAACGTTGTAGATATAAAATAAAAAGTTGATATTTTGTTTGCTGTTTGCGGCAAGTTTACAATCTATCTTTCATCCAAAAATCGATCTCTACAAGTAAATAAATAAATATTCTACTTATCTTATACGGCTTATAAAATCGACCATATTAACAAAATTACAATACTTTGGACCTTTTAACATTAACTCATGGAAGCACAGCCCTTTAACTTTATTGTTTAGATAAACAGTTAACTTATATAATATGTACATACCAAGATTTGTGTTACAGAAATCTTGAACAACGATAAAATATATAAGTAAAGTAATCAGTCTAAAAGAGACAACTAAAAAAAAAAGCTTAAAAAAGAAGATCAGTCACACAAAGAGTCTCCTAAGAATGGAACATTGGATCTCACGAAATAAAAAATACATTTATTACAGAGAAGTAAATTTAAAGTGTTATAAATCAACAAAAAACCCAACCTTCTCTGATTAAGTGAGATCCAATACTCCATTCTTAGGAGACTCTTCGTGTCACTAAACATCTTTATTAAGCCTTTTTTCTTCAGTCGTCTCTTAGACTGATTACTTTACTTATATATTTTATCGTTGTTCAAGATTTCTGTAACACAAATCTTGGTATGTACATATTATATAAGTTAGCTGTTTATTTAAACTATAAAGTTAAAGGGCTGTGCTTCCATGAGTTAATGGTAAAAGGTCTTAAGTATTGTAATTTTGTAAATATGGTCGATTTTATAAGCCGTATAAGATAAGTAGAATATTTATTTATTTACTTGTAGAGATCGATTTTTGGATGAAAGATAGATTGTAAACTTGCCGCAAACAGCAAACAAAATATCAACTTTTTATTTTATATCTACAACGTTAGGTGCGGCTGGTTTATAATTGATAAAGTGACTTTACTGTAAATAGCAATAATTATTTGGATCAGCGCCATCTAGCGGTCTTCATTTTTGAGCGAAAAGTGGCCTCTAAAATTCTCAATCAGAGCAATCAGGATTAGAGCCATTTAGTCAATTATAAACCAGCCGCAACTAATGATGAAGCTATAAAATAAAAAAATAACGATACATGTGTTTTTGGCGGCAAGTTAACAATCTATTTTCTACAAAAAATCGACCTCCTTTGTATTTATACTTTTAGAGATAAATTTTTGAGCATAAGATAAATCATTAACTTGCCGCCAAAAACACATATATCGTTATTTTTTCATTTTATAGTCTACAAAAGAAGTTGCGGCTGGTTTATAATTTATTAAATGGCTCTAATCGTGATTGCTCTGATTGAGAATTTTAGGGGCCACTTTTGGCCAAAAAATAGTGTCCGCTAGATAGCGCTGATCCAAATAACTATTACTATACGTACAGTAGAGCCACTTTATTAACTATAAACCAACCGCAACTAATTGTGTAGATAGATAATAAAATGTTTACATTGTTTGAGCTATTTGCGGCAAGTTTACAATCTATTTTTAGCTAAAAATTGACCTGTAAAAGTATAAATATTCTACTCATGTATGTATGTACATAATGTATACAATCTCAGTCTCGGACCTGAACCTGACATACCTCACTCTGCGTGCACGTAAGGACGTAAGTAGTGTACATATAAGTCTACAGATACTTACTAATTATTTGTATCAATTTGAAATCATAATCTAAGTAACGATTAATGAACCAGTCAGAGGAGCAGGATCACAATTCGGTTGCGGTAATGCAGCACAAGCCTCGAAGAAGACCTAATATAGTCAATGCTGCCGGTCAACCTCGCAAAAACAAAACCAGCAGTAGCATCACCAATAATAGTGTATCGCAACCTCATGCAACGACAACAACAACAACTTCATCATCAATAACAACAACTACAGCAGCAACAACTTCGACCGCAGCTACTGTAGCTGAAATGCGCTGCCTTGGAGGTTTAGCCTCATCCTCTGGCTTGAGCAAAAACAGTGACAACAATACTGGAAACATATCTAGCTTGCCGGATCACATACTCGAGATAATCATGTCACACTTGGATCTTTATACTCTGGGTAATTGTCATCTAGTTTGCGAAAGGTGGTACAGGCTGCTCAGTTGTTACGAGAACAACGAAATCTGGCGTGTTCAGTGTAAAAAGAAGCTACATGACGAAATCTTGAGTTCCGAGCTATTGTCCTCACTGCCAAGTTTTAAAGCTAAGCTCAGAGCCCACTACTATGCCTGGAATCCAAACGATTGCTCCAGAAATATCTTCACCAAGTTCAATGATTTTATGCTACATAGGTCAGTTTTAAATATTATTGTCTGTTTAGTGTTATAGTCAGATGAATGTCAGTTCTAAAGTATGTGAATTTTTTCAGGAATCCAGTTGCCCAGAGTACGGATGCTTGTAGAGGAAAAATTGGATTTCGACATGGAAGGCATGCCTGGGAAATCATATGGGAGGGTCCACTTGGAACTGTTGCTGTTATAGGCATCGCGACTAAAAATGCGTCTCTAGTCTGTCAGGGATATGTGGCTTTGTTAGGATCTGATGAGCATTCCTGGGGCTGGAATCTTGTTGATAATAATCTCTTGCACAATGGAGATACACAAGGGAATTATCCTTTCTTAAACAATGCTCCAAAGTACCAAGTATGCATTAATTTAAATAGTTTTTTACCCTTACTTAAATTTATGAGCCATGTACAAAAATTAATAACCACTTATTTTTTAGGTTGGAGAAAGAATAAGAGTCATACTAGATTGTGATAATAACACGTTATCTTTTGAAAAAAATTATGAATTTCTTGGCGTGGCGTTCAGAGGTATTTTTTCATAGTTTATAAGTACTCATTATCAACCAAATCAATTTTTTTTTGTTTTTTTAACAAAATGGTATATTTAGGCTTACCAGACAAGAGGCTGTATCCAGCAGTATCTGCAGTCTACGGAAACACAGAAGTTTCTATGGTATACTTAGGTCCACCTTTGGATGGGTAATGTACTTATGCAATATGCAGTATTTAAAAGCATTTATTAACTTTATTGTGGAATACTGAATGATTGTTGTGCATTGAAAATGCCTGTATGTCGAATTGTCTTTAAAATATAGAGTACGCGTCGACGTTAAGCTAATATTGTTAACCAACTTAAAGTATCAAAATGTCAAAGCTTTTATGAAAGCATATTCAATTTAAGTGCAATTATAAAAAAATGTTATTGTTGCATTATTAACTGATCTATAGATTTTGTGATTCAAAACGCATTTTCAACAACATTTATGTTTTTTAAAATATTTTTTGTGGTCAATGTGAACTAAGTCATTTATTTTAATTGAGTATTGTTTTAAGCGTGTGCATTCTAATCTGTATATACTTACACATGTGAATTATTCAAAACTCGCATAGTTTTGTAAAAAGTCTTTTTATTGTTGTGATTAAAAAAAGTTACTATAAATTAATGGAGGAAAATACGTAATATAATTTATACACTAAAGTATGAAGTTTATATTAAATTAATCAATTAACGTCACTGTATAAAAACTATTTACAGATTAATTATTACAAAAATATCGGGAACTTCTGACATCCAAGTATTATGTCATTGGTTGTAAAAAAAATAAAAATTAAACAGGTGACAAGATTTTTACGGAACCAAAGTACATTGCGTTTACATATAAATCCTCTTCCACTCCTACATTCAATCTTAAAATTTTTTTTTTTTTGTAACTTTTGTACAAGATTATGTACAAGCAAACACCCACCCTGTGAAACAAATGTTATTCCGTGTGTAGCTGAAGTAAACATTATCAAGTACATTATTTTACCTAGTTCAGTCTTTATCTTAAACTTAAAAACGAAAATATTCATGTGGCATCTTTGAAAGAAACAAAAAAATATATATATATTTCGTTTTTCACTGTGAGGAACCAAATGCTCATTTCCATGGAATGCTTTTCAACTCCCAACTTTGTTCATCATAGCCCGTGCAGGCTGCGACAACCGGGCCCTCGTTCTCTTTGGACGGTCTCTCAAGACACATATCGGACGATACATGTTTGATTATTTTTTCCTGAAAGAATACATATGAAAAATTTTCTCAAAAAAAAAAAATAAATAGTACGCTGTCACCCACTTTTTCAACGTGTTGCCATTTTTGGCCGTTGGCGTTACTGCAAGCCATTAGTTTGACCTTGGGTTTGTCGTGCCTTTCGTCTCGCTCGGGGGCCTCCAGACACACGCTCTCGTCCGTCATGATAACACCGTCCTGCCGCATCACGAACATTTGACTGAGGTTCGGCGGTGATATGCAATCTTGGAAGGCTGCCAAGCCCAAGGGCTGCGAGTACAAGCTCTTGTTGATTGGCCTCATAAGACACTTATTCGAGGATGGATGAACGATCTATGAAAATTGTTGCTTTTTAACAAACTACTGTAAGCCTTATATTGAGGTTGTATTTGTTCATCAGGTACCTGTCCGAAAAAACGATCGTCTTTCGGAAAAAAGTGATCCGGCCAAACGTTATCCAAATACCATTCGAAACTCTGGCACTTCAATCTTTCCCTCAATACCAATCTCGATCTGATTTGCTGCTTATCGCGTACGCGTTCGGCCTCTGAAATTAATTTTTGCAAAATTCACAATCAACCGCTCCATCATCTCTACTTTTGGCTTCTCATCGCCGGCCGGTGTCCACCTTTGCCCCCTTTAATCGGAGCAAATACGGCTACTTTGCAAATTTTCTGGGTGCGAAGAAAATTTTTAGAAACACTTGTACAGATTTTTATGTTTTCAGGCTTGGTTTATGTATCGAATATCATATAACTTTTCTTGTACGCAAAAACAACCAAAGTCTGGGAAAAACATCTTTTTCTAAGCTTTTGATTTTTAAAATTATCCGCATGCTCGGTGAGTACTTTCATTTTCCAGAACAGAATAAAAAAATGGCACTATGCAATTGTTTTATAATATAAAATACGCAGACTTTTCCAGAATCCGCGCGGACACCTTCAACTTGGACACCATCACATTATGGGGTACTGCAAAGAAGTGCACTCACGTGGGTTGAACTTGAAGTAAAACTTGCCCCAGTCGTCCATCCAGACGAGAGCGACCCTCGCCAGGTTCCCGTAGAGCACATCGTCCACGCCCCCGGGGAAGGTGTAGGGCGAGGATTTGCGGAATATGTGGCCGACGTGCGAGCAGGGGGCTATCTCGACGCTACCCCCGCACTGCCAGACCCGAAAGGACAGCTCGAGGTTCTCACCGCCCCAGATCCTCATGCGCTCGTCGTAGCTGCCCAGCTCGAAGAAGTAGTCGCGCTCCATGGAAAAAAGGCCCCCGGCCATCGCCGGTGTCTTAAAGGGGTCGACCGCGTTCTCGCGGCGCTCGCGCAAAAGGGCGCCGTTCAGCATCAGCCATCGAAAGTGTAGGTCCCAATTGAACGCGCCCCAGTGCAACTCGAAGGACCTACGAGATTTTTTTTCCCGTTATTTCTCAACAGCTTTCAAATTCTCGATCGTCTTGACGCAACTTTGTATCAAGAGGAAAAAACTAAACAAGATTAATGCTCGCACGTGTCTGTTGGGCATACAGATCACCCGCCAGACGGCTGATCCAATTCTCGAGCTTGAACTTTGAACTCTTTGGCCGAAAAGCCGATAAAAACGTAAACAAATCGTTATCACCATCACTTATCGTTATCACGTACTAATATATATATTATACATAACGTATATGCACCTAGTGTAGCTGAAGGTATCGTCGTTGATGATGTCGATCACTGGTGACACGACTCTCGTTCGATTCTTAAATATTGCTTCCAAAAGTGGCTCCAGCCATCCTGAAACAAACCAACGGATCAATCGACCAGTTGAAAAACAATTGCACTCTATGTATACAATTATACTCTCGTTCGTCCCAGCCGACAGAAAAATATTTTACCATTGTACCGAATCGACACGTGTGTGCCGCGTACAGTATTATATACAAGAAGGAGCTTACCTACCAGCCGTACACTCACAGTGTGCGTCCAAAAAAGTCAAAACGTCCCCTCGGGCTTGACTCGCGCCCATCAGTCTCGCGTTAACCAGGCCGATCCGATTGGCTGATCTCAGCACCCGCGTCGGTACCTCCAGCAGCGCCACGTACTTGTCCAACGGCCTTCTCAGGAACTCTACAGCAACATATACGTATATAAATATTATTTATCACAAAAAAAAAAAAAATCTAAATTATTGCATACGTATGAGGTATACCTCTGTCGCTGCTGTCGTCGACGAGGATGATTTCCTTGAGCAAACGCTTGGGCGATCGGTTGATCACGCTGTGCACGGTGCGCAGTAGGGTGCTCCACGCCTCGTTGTGAAAAACAATGATGACCGACGTGGTCGGCAGATCGGATAAATTCGCGTACCTCGACGTGCACCTGCGGCGAACAACGTCTTGTTTGATTACTACATACATGCAGGTACACTATATACATATTGGACGATTGGGCTCTCACGCGTGTAATGTAATGATGCATCCTACATATATCAATTACACGCCAAACGAGCACGCGAGTAACTGTGTATACGTATAATATTATGGTGTAGCGCGTACATAATAGGTATATAATATGTACTCGTGTGGAAAAAAAAGAGATATACATGATGTTATAGTACAGGGCTTACATTTTCTTCCTGACATCCGGTAGGGATCGGTTCAGCGGTATCCTGTCGCTGGCCAACAAATTGTACCGATTGATTTGAAACAACTGTTGCATCAACTGAAAATCCTTCGCGGGTATCTGAACCGGTGAGCCATTGGTTCCCTCGTAGGCGCGCGGATCGAACATATTTTTGTTGATCAGCTCTGTTACGCGCGTGGGATAAACCGTTAAAATATCGAGAACAACAACAAATAGCGCATCATTCGATCGTCATTCTGTCCTACTTTTTATTGCGTGTGCGTGATCGGTATATCAAGTATGTACGTACCTTTTGTGATGTTCGGAACTTGCAACGAGTCCATGGAGTTGCCGACGTAGTGTCCGACGACCACGTGCACGCCCCGCTTGTCGATGTACTCCCTTTGCCCTTCCGACAGTCTGACCGAGCATAGAAAACGACGCGTTTTTTGTATACCAAGTACAGGAGAACGGAAAGAGAAAAATTAGAAAATATACTCACTCCAGGTGGACGAAATCACGGGCCGGGTCGTACCGCGGGTCCTCGTTCTGGCCACTTTTGGCGAACAGTAGCAAGCCACCCGCGGCCAGGAGCACGAAAACGAGCACCGGCCACGCGCGTCGCATCCTCGTCGGTCTCGGCCACATGTTCTCCCTCTCGATATAATACCCACCTCTGACAATCCAATTCAAGCTCCTTTCCCGAAAAGTCTAGTTGAAAGCTCGATCGGTACGACCATGATTGATTATACGTATACGATAATTCGAGGGCTCACCGGTCTTGGTGGCTATATAATTGTATAATTGTGAGCTCGGCTGAGTTTTTCGGGCAGTGGATATGAAGTAACGTTCGGGCGCGCGCCTGTTTCTTCTTCTTATCGGCTCGGCGGGTCATCGCTGCGGTTCAGTGTCTCCGTTCGCGGACAACTTGCGTATCCGTAACATGTCCCCGAGGCTGAGATCGTCGGACAGAAAATTTATTTTTAAAATACATGGGCAATTCTTTCTCGACTATCAAGTGTGCCTCGATCACATGGCTGTACAGGCGCGTAGTGTGGCAATTGTGAAACATGTTTTTTTTTTTTTTTTTTTTTTCCTCAAAGTACCAATGTACATCTTAAGATCAATCGACAACGAGAGATCGCGAGAACATATTATAATCGCCTTTCAATTTATGTATGCAAAACCTACTCACGCACGTGTTTTTCCTTACGTATAGCTCCCCACAAGAGCCCCTAGCTCAAATCAACAACATCACGCGAGTAACTTTCATTTCGAATTCCCATCGCGTGCAAATGAGTATATAAGTACACGACCGATCGAGCGTTTTTACGTGCAATATACATGTATAAATAAATGCACAGGTGGCCGTGCACGAGCTCGAGTGTACATCGGTACATGTTGTAAAAGAAACATCATCGCAGGTGCAACCTGTGTAATGTACCCATAATATGTACCCTCTATATATACACAGGTATAATGTATACGTACGATGACTACTGTACTCCTGAGAAAGGCAGGGGGAGAGGAAAAAATGACAAATTACCGTGATACCACCGCAGTATATCTGGCCTACAGGGAGAAGCGGCAGCAACCGCGGTCCGGTCGTCAATTTGACTTTTCCGCTCTCGCCGCATCCGCGCATTCTTGTATATCGTTGCTCCTCTCGATTTCTGCTTCTTTTTTACCTTTCCGAGGACAATGTGCTCCTCTCTCTCTCTCTCTCTCTCTCTCTTTCGAGGTGAGCAACACCTAAGTGTGCGCCCGTACCCTCATCCTCTGGTAGTCGGAGCCAAGCCGAGAGAGGTGGTACATGTATACACTTTATATATATATATTTCTCGCAGCTCGTTATAAATGGGCTGGACTGGCTGAAACAATAGCGGGAAAGTGACTGTACGTATAATATTACAGGGACAACAACTTGCCGCTACTCTGCAGTTATACATACGCGGAAAAGAGAAGATCCAGTGATACACACAATAGAGGGTGATTTTTCGGGGTGTTGGGTATCTCTCTGTTGTTTTTTAAATTAAATTTTTTTTTGTGGGATGACACAATTAAGGAAATTACTCGTTGAATGGCAAATCGTGAATTGTACACCCGATCAGCATTTACGTGAACTGTTGTTGTTGGTTTTCGTATAAAGTTTCTTTGCTTTCAACGGTTGTACGAGTAGAACTACATGTATCTATATCTCAAGAAAGAAATGTTATGCACCACCGTTATACTTGATGGTGGTTTTTTTTTTTTTTTTTTTTTTGCAATTTACGTAATTGACAGTAAAATCATGTTAAGACTCGAGATTAGATTAAAACACACGCAGCGACGTTAATGAGCAACTCGAGAGCAGAGGTGAACTTATTATATCAATTAACCGAGATTGCCGCGATTGCGCAATTTTTTTTTTCTTCGCTCCAACGTGTAAATGCCACTGTCAAATTTACATAGGTATGTGTTTTACATTACATGTATATATATATACATTCCATGCACAATTATTACGTTGGAACTGTTTTTATTTCTATATCCCCACTAGTTTTTCTTGCCATTTCAGTTGTTCGTTGATATACATACGATGAAGTTACTGATAATAAATCGTTACAGGAAATGTTTGGCATCAAAGAGAGTCATCGATCTTTAGTTTACGCATGCATACTTGGTAAGAAATAAATTATAATCTAAATCTGTAAACGTGTAGCTACGCGTCACTAGTGAAACAAAAAAATGTCACAAAAATCGGTTTTCGGGCCATACCGATTTTCATCGATATAACAGAGGTATTTGAAAAAAAAAAAAAAATCAATAAATACTTACCAACCTGTCCGATGACGAAGAAACGGTGGATGAATCACAAAAAACCACCAACACCCAGACCGTACTATAATGTATCGCTCATCACATGCGGTGGCACACTATAAATATGACGTACAAGGCATTACATTATTCACGTACGCGCGCGTATAGGTACACCTACACCTCCAGGCGGAGCGACAAGATCTCCTCCTCGTTTCACTTTCACGCACGCTCTCCTGTATACCTGCCTGTGTCTCGCAATAGGCGAAAAAAACAAAATCACCGTGTCACTCCCGACGCGCCCCTTGTTTCTCACATTAGACTCCAATAAATTAATAAAAGGCAAAAACAAAAACTGGCTCTTTGCGAGGAAAAAAAAAAATAAAATAAAATAAGACGTAAAACGCGATAAAACAAGTATGTATAGCGGACGGATCGCGGAGCTCCTGCGAACAAACTATCCCAACTCGGAATGCACGACGCGCCAAGAGAGGAGCCAGGTCGGAGTGGCAATGGCACCGGAGGAGCAGAGGGAGAGAGCCGACCCCCTCGCCCATAGCGCGTTTCCTTTCCTTTGCCGATCTCGATGCGGGCTGACGTCATCGGCCGTGGTGGGACTTACTCCGAGAGAGAAGAAGGGGCTTATACGCGACTAACCATATAAAACGTGCAGGTTTGTTTCATACGGGTGGCATGGCTCGGGAGTCATAGGTGGTGTATGTATAATGCACGGCTGTGTGTTGTACACGAGCGAGCTTACGAAAAAAAAAAATAAATAAATAAGATTTGGTTTTAAAAGATAAGGTCTTAACGATCTTTATTTTTATTTTGTCGTCACTTAATCGGATCGGCATTGAGCTCCGGTGCAGTTAGAAGATGTAGATCAGGTCGTAAAGTGAGGCGCGATATCGGTAACATTCCTTACCGATCTTTTTCACATTTTTGTTATCAAACACGCAGAACATAATGCGCTGGTGGGCCCAAAAAAGCAATCAATAGTGCTAAAAATAAGCTCAATAAAAGGCCGATCGATCGAGATTTGTTGGATTGAAATTTAATGTATAAAACCTGCAATTTCAAAGAATTAGCTTAGATATGTTTATAGTGACTCTAGATCTGGATATTTTGTTTTTTGACTCAACAAAGTTCATCCAAAAGCTCGTTTGTGCACGCCACATGCGTTATATTTTGACCCTCTGAGTAAAAAGAGATATCTATGAATTCTAAAGGTGTGAAAAAAAAAAAAAAAAAACTAATAATTAAAACTGATCACGAGTGAGAATTTTTCGTAGAATTTTTCAGGTACAACGCACATGCGTGTATATATAAGAAGAACAGAGAATTGAGAAACTGGTATAGGATAGGGAAGAACGCGCCGAGTCGAGGATATATACCGAGAAAGCGATTAAATAGCAACCCCCACAGAGAGCGAGGAGGTATGCCGATACCCATGTACATACTCCTCACATCCTTTACTGGGTTCGTGTATGCGTACGTGTACAGATACGTGGGAATAATGATTATTCGACCCAGCCTAGGTTTTTTTTTTTTTTTTTTCCTTTTTTTGTGACCGGCGTAATTGTTTTCCCAGAATTTGCCTTGCCACATCCCTGAGGGTACGCGTCTTGCCGTCTATATACACGGCATCTTCTTTTTATCACTCTATGGAATGCTTTAGCCGGCAATGAATCTCTCTCGACTTGGTTCTAATAACAAGTGAACTCGATACTACACATATACTTTTTTTTCATCGGTAAAATAATCGATTACAAAAACAGTCAATGTCCAACCAAATTGTTTATTTTTTTATAAACCGAACTTTTTCATCATTTAAATGTATTATTGTATGCGAAGCGCATGATAATTTTCCTAAAATTAATAAGTATAAGTTTTAGGGTTTTCACGGCAGATAAGGTGATAATTGAAACTAAAAATAGGTAAAATATTACGTGATTTTCACAGTAAGTGTATTAATATTTACACACTCGTATTGCGAATAATTTTTTCAAACTATGCCCGCTCTTTTAAAAGCTCCCTCTGTCAGTGTTCAATTTTTTTTATCAATTCGTGTGACGATCTTAACACCTTCAAATGAATTTTATTTTGTGTCTAATTGTAGAGTGAAAATTATGGTTTTAACCATTATTAAAATTAGTACAAGGAAATCAATACATTTTTCTAACTTGTTTAAACACATCAAAACATATGTTTCTGTTATAAATTGACCAAGAAATCGTTAACGAACGTGACGCAAATGAACATGTGAATCTCGAACAAATTTATTTCAGGTCATGTAATTTTTCAAACGTTCGTCCAGTTTCATTTATAAACAAACCGATAGGGAGCTTGTACGGTCTGAATACTGACCATCAGTTTTCTCATCTCTTCCATTCACAACCACTCCAGTTCCAAGAAGTTATTGTAATTTTACTTTTCATTATATGCCGGGTTTTTAAGTGTAACTTTCCTGTACATACAGTTAATTAAACGATTTCCAGATCGGTTCAACAGTGATGGACGACATAACAGAACTGGCAAATCTTGCTGGAGACCAAGAAATTTATTGCGATGTAAATACTGAATCCTCGTCCGTGATGGATGTTGATGACGATTTTTCCGAATCAGAAAACGATAGTTCGAAGCAAGAACTAGTAGATCACGGTATAGCCATTGAAAAAGTGCCTCGTACAAAAAATCGTTATCAGCGCACTTTTCATATCAACAAGTAAGTATATAATATGTCGAAAATGATGTATAAATAATAATGGTATACATGTGAAATGAAAAATGTACATCTAAACGTTATTTTACAGAAATCATTACAAATGTATGTATAGTTGGGTCGAAAGGAGCGGGATTGAAGCAGTTGTGTAGCAAAGCTAATATTAAAGTCTTTAAGAAAAAGAAACAAGTTGGTACGTGTACGAAAAAAATTATGCATTTTTCATCAAACTGTTTGTTTCATTCATATAAATACAAGTATTTAATTTGAACTAGTCATTACTGGATCAAGCCAGAAAAAGATTATCCAGGCCAAACAAAAAATAGAACAGTTGATAGAAAACTGCAAGGAGATAAAAAGGTTTACTCATTTTCTATCAATACCGACAACTTCACAGGATATAAAAGATAATTTTATAAAATTCAAAAAAGATGTGATGAAAAATTGTGATTTAGAAGGTATACTGGGTTTCGTGAAGGCATGTTTCAAAAACCCGAAAAATTGCACCTCACCATTTGCATGCTTTACTTATTGGATGACTGTGATCAACAGAAAGCCATTGAAGCATTGATTCATTGCAAAAACGAAATTATTGAGTTTGTATTAGCTAGCTTTAAGCCTAGTTTTATATACCTTTGTAAAAAAAATTCTCTTGTTATTTTCAGTCCAGTGCTGAGTGAAAGTGGGTCCCTGGAAATAGAGTTCAAAGGGTTGAGGTGCATGAACAATAATCCTTCTAAGGCCCGAATTTTGTACATCAATGTGAACGAAGCAAGTGGTAGTCTTCAAAAGATTTCAGATGCTATGAATGATCACTTTATCCATCAAGGTAAACATCTTCAGTTTGTTCATACTAATGCATTAAATGAGTACACTCATGTTTTTTTATTTATTCAGGTTTATCAAGAAGACAACATGATAAAATAAATTCGCATCAAACTGTTATTAATACATTTTACCTTGAGAAAAAAAAGTGATCAAGTGCAAAAACATTTCAATGCTCTCTCATTGTTAAAGGTACGAGTTTATCCAAAGCTCCTCTTTTTTTCTTTTTTAATATCAAATAATAAGGTCCTGGGTTTTTTCAGAATAGTGCTGATACTAGATTAGGTACAATAAAGCTGTCAACTGTTCATTTATCTAAATTGACAGCAAAATCACCTGATGGGTACTTTGAAGCAACTTCTATCATCGAGTTTTGAATGTTAAACGTGTCAATTACATTGTAATTATAAAATACTTACAGTGAAAAAAATATATTATTTATGAAACATGGTGCCCTACTGCAAAAATGGCTCGAAAAAAAAAAAAGTGTTGCGGAGCCGCGAAACTTGAAGTAAAAAATGAATCTAGTAACTTTTTTTTTATGGTGGGATAAAACCGTTCAGTTGGATGCACTGATAGTCACTAGCTAGTCTTATTGCGGCGATACGGGCAATGCTTGTTTGACATAAGCATGCTTGTTTTTGTTTATGTTGTTACGTATACGTGTCGGAGATCGGAGCCTAAAAACGTCAGCTTGCAACTTTAAATGTCGCAGACATACATTGTTTGGTAAAAATTCGATTATTATCTTTAATGTTATTATTTATATAAACATCTTTCATTCGCCAAACTATTTTTACAAGTGCTTCTATGTCGATCATAATATATTTTTAATGTTGTTCGTACATATCTTTGTACTTTTTATTGAATAAATCATGTTGTTAACCTTAAACTTAACATTTATTGTGTATGTTCACTTTTAAATTAGATAAAAAGATTTTTGCGATGGAAGATATATTAGAGCCGGAGTTAGTGTGGGTGGATGGCAGATGTTATAGATGTTGTGACAGTTCTGCTTGGTGTCAAGAAAACGAGCTGCAATCTTATGTTGAAGAGGCTTATGAACCAGATTATGGATCGAACGATGAAGAATCTTGCGATGCTTCCATTGAAATTGTACCAGTGAGGGGTGATCGCTTGGAACACAGGTTTTATGTGAATAGGTGCACTTGAATTTTTTTAATTCAGTTAAATTTGGCTGTACTTGTACCAACAATAAGATAACTTTATTGTCGTTGCAGTAATTTTTATCGTTTTATTATTGGGTCTAAGGGAGCTACCTTAAAACGATTGGAAACCGATACAAATACTGTAATCACAGTACCTAGACAAGGTCAAAATGGTGATATAAGTAAGTATGAAATGATTCATCGTATTGCTTATGTCCAATACTTGCTAAATATTTATTTTTTCAAGTTATTACTGGAGCGAACCGCAGGGACATTTTTTCTGCAAGGACAAGAATTGATTTGTTGATAGAAACTTCTAGAAGTAAATTAGAATTTACTCATTTCATTTCAATACCAGCCAACTTTGATGAAGTAAAAGGAAATTTCAAAAAATTCAAAGATGATATTTTAGAAAATTGTGGCATAGGGGCAAGGGGGATACAGGAAGAAATATTTCAAAAACCAGAAAAATTGCACCTTACCATTATTATGTTGGTTTTATTGGACGAAGAAGATCGAACAAAAGCCGTTGAAGCTTTGAATACTTGCAAGACTGACATTGTCATGTAAAAAAATTTTGAAGTAATACATACTGTGTTAACAATTGAGACAGTTTTTTCATGATTCAATTAAATGTAGGCCAATTTTGAATAAAAATGGACCAATAGAGGTGGAGTACAGAGGAGTAGAAATCATGAATGATGATCCAAGAGAAGTCGAAATATTATACATAAAGGTTCATGATGAGAGTGGTTGTCTTCAACAAATATCTAATAAAATTGCTGATTACTTTATTGATGAAGGTAAAGCTTTACTTTTTCGATGAAAGGATCTTTTTTAACGACATATCTTATATATATTGTTTTTTTTTCAATAAATGTGTATCCAAGGTTTAACAAGAAGACAGTACGATAGAGTAAAGTTGCATATGACAGCAATGAATACACATTTTCTCCTAGATGAGACTCAAGAATATCAAAAACGAGGGACGTTTGATGCATCATATGTCTTAGAAGTAAGAATGCATTCACGTAGTGCACTGACTATGAGTTAAAAATAAGCATATATTATATGGATAAATAATTATATATTATTTTCTTTCAGACACATGAAAATACTTATTTCGGAAAAGCATTGCTCACTGAAATTCATCTCTCGTTGAAGCATTCGAAATCTGTAAAAAATGGCTATTACTTAGCATCGTCTAAAATTGTGTTTGATGATTAGATAAAGTAATTATGACCTTTTTGTCGACTCGCGCTATACAATGAAAATGGGTTTACATGAAAATTGTTACCCGCAATACGAAAATTATTAACATTTTTTTAAAAAGCATCGCATTGTGGAAGTACTACCACCAAAGGGTTGTATTACACTTAAAAGTGTTGAAACACTAAAGAGGTATAAAACAAAACTGATAGTTTTTTCAGAATCGTTAATTTCCTTCATACAAATATGGATTGTGCAAATAATACCCAGTACATTTTACAATATTATATGGTCACATCGAATCAACAATAAAAATAACAAGTGATAAATAACTTGATACTGGTTCTACTGGTGGTCTATTTTACGGTAATAATTACCACAGCTTTTGGCAAGACAAAATATATGCCTAATAAAAGGACATCTTAAAAAAGCGTAATTTCAATATTACATACTTTAGTGGCCTCTGAAAAGTGACAGAAGCAGCAAATTCATATATTCCCCTGGTGAACGCGATACAAAGTGTATGTATTTGAGAGTTGAGCTGATATAGGTATGATTTTTTTTTTTTTTTTTTTTTCAAGGGGATGACTTTCCCGGCTTTACTGCTGGGTTTGGCCAATTCCTAATCTTGCAGGCTCTGTGTTGTATTCTCTTGTAAATTTTCTCTCCTTTCCTCACCGTGTGCTATGTCTCATCATTTTATCTCTGTTTCTGGTCTATACATTTATCACTGCCGCCGCACAGGTTACTCTATAGTTGTAAACCGCAGGAGTGGAGGGGACAGGGAGAGGTGGCGCTGGGCCATCGCCACACTCGCAAGCGTCATCGCTAGTTATTGTCATCCTGTAGAGGTGGTACCCCACCCTAGCATGGCCAGTTTTCATCCTATTTATGCATAATATCTCTCCGCGCGACATGGCCACATAATGAAACCACGAAAGGGGCGCGAAGCCACCATTGCATTCAACGAACTTTTTAGCTTTACCGTATCTTTTAATAAAGTTAGTCATATGGTCAGCAGTGATATCTCTAAACCCACCCCGCGCATTCATCCAACAAACATTCGGACAGTCCACCCGGGGTCGCATACTTGCCCCTTTCGCATGTCTGTCGGCGCAATCGTTCCCAGGATCGCCCGTGTGGCTATCGGTATCCATGACAGAACAACGTCACATCCCATGTCAGATTTAAGCTCCCCGATAAAGTCTTCTAATGTCTCTAATGAGAGGGTGCATAATATATATGAGGCCATATATACCTAGAGAGCCAAGGCATCGCAAGACAGACTTTGAGTCAGAGTAAATTTTGTATACTTTTAATTCTATTAATAGAATAATATACTTTGAAAATTCCAGAGCTTTTGCTATTGCCAAGGCTTCAGCGTCATATATATTAGAGTCGTCAGCCAGTCTGTATTTTGCGCTGCTTATGGCCCTCCCCCTCACTCGGCACCAGACCACAAAAGCACACCCACATCTACTACCCGAGAAATTCTTTGAGCCATCCGTGTAGACGGAAACGCGACAGTCGTCCGGCCCCAGACCCGAATTATCCCTTCCCCGAGGACTCGCGTCAGACGAGCTCCCCAGATCGACCGATTCACTCAGAAACAATGTGTCGTACGGTATTTCGAAAGCCGAGGGCCTCGATCTATATCAATGCATGCGTCAAAGACGCCTCTATTTTGAAGCCACACAGAATACAAAAGGTGCCCCCCCCCCCCCGGCTGGACGGTGTCCAAATTTCTCCTGCAAGAGTCTGAACTTGGGTACCAACATATTTCTCCCATTACTAACCGTTCACAGCAAATAGGTACCTCGCAGCCATTTCCCGGCGTCTAAAGGACAGAGTCTCCAAAGCCGCAATGTGATGGAGAGCATCAATTGGGGTCGTGTTCATGCATCCGAGGGAGATTCTAAAGGCGGTGTTCTGAACAACATCAAGCCATATACCTAGGTATGATGATAATGTGACTGAGCTTTTGTCAACGTGAGGTGTGCGCTGCTTATCATGTCTCACGTGGTCATCCCCACCCAAAATTTTCAGCGCAATCAATCGCAGAGCAAGAAAGCAATAAGCTACATCTCACCTTTTACGGAGTTCGGTGTATTGCCGAAAGATAAGCAATGCGTGAACGCACGTAGAAGTGACGCGTTAATTTTTCCTTTGGACAAGTCTGTGTTGGTATTTTTTTTTTTTTTTTTTTCAACTCCTATGGTTCAACATTTTTTGTTATTATTCTTCAAGTGCGGGTTAAAACATTAAAGTTACAATGTTTGGCGACAAAAATAAATCCACCTCCAACAATGTGGCATATTACCACTCTTACAAGTACCAGTCCTTGGATCTTTTACACCGTGAGTGATTATCATGCTTTAGTCTTGTTCACCTGCTTGTAACTCTTTTCTCTCTCTCTCTCTCTCTCTCTCTCTCTCTTTCAAAGTTACGTATAAATTATTTTCACCTCAAGTCTGATGAAAGTTTTCGGCATTTTGGAAATTATTTTTGTTCTTTAGTTAAATGGCAATTCATTTGGATTAAGATAAGAACACCCAATAATGATTTGGATTAACTTTCAGCTTTGTCTTATATCTCTTTAGTGTTTAAGCCCGAAACCCGAATGGTTAATTTACTTAAATAGTATTTAAAGTCTAACTTTACTGATCATTTTCAAAAAATACATTCGGATTGATTATTATGATTTTTGAGCAACGTAAATGATGAGCGAACTTCAAGCACTTGCTCAAAGATAGTAACACTTTACAAACAGACAGTGTAAAATGATGAGCGTACATGTAACGTTTTAGTCATTTGAATACAAATTTATAAATAAAAAACTTTTCTAGTGTTGATAAGATAAAACGCCTTCGTCGAAAAATATACGTTCTCTTATCAGCCTGTCGTCATTCGTACTTTCGTCAACTTGGTGAAATGGGAAAAAAGGTTAATAGAGAGTAAAATGCAATTATTTTACTATAAAATGGTTGGGTAAATTTTTCTTGTCTTTTATCAACAGTGCAATGTTTGGATTTCGTAAGAAAAAATGCAGATAAGATAACTATTTAGCGCTCGAGAAGGAGCTGTCAAAGATTTCTAATAATCTTGACGAGAAAAGCTATACGGGTGCATTGAAACAGGGCACTCATACGTGACAATCGTTTTACATTTTCCGCAGTTTACACTTTTACAAACCTGCGATACCTACATTTCATTTTTTTTATAACAATTAAGCCTCAAGAAACTGCAGCTACCTCATCGTAGATTTACCAATTTCACTATATGTACATTCCTTTTAGACAAAGGTTTTTCTTTAAAAATTAATTTTGTTGCTATATCGCTCCACATCATCACCTATTTACAATGAAAGGAAGTCTATAATACTTACTTAGTAGGTACACATCAGATAACAACACATCATTGACGTACAATTTTATCGCAGTTCTCGATTTTTCTCAAGTTTACTTTGCGGTTCAGCGCATCTTGTATTCCCTGTCTTTGTAGAGTGCCAATAATATAAAATATAAATTGTCAATAAACGAAAATACCAAAATCACAGAAGAGAGCGACAAATAAAGTACACTATGCGTGTGCACTTACACATGCCGATTCAACAGAGCGCGCCAAAAATTTCGAGCTTTCGATTGTTAAAACTCTCCGCACGCGTAATAATACCTATAAGTATATGCATGTGTGTTTGTCTTGTTGCAAATTGAAAGTTGCGAGAGTCAAACGAGATCGCGATCGCGTCCAAAGTCCAAATGCCAAATAAATCGCAGTATCCACGAACATAACAACACGGGAATAATATATATACAGTATTAGATGTGAAATAAAAAGTATAGCATAGTTACGATGGGCAATGTGTGCTTATATACACTTTTCTCTTGCAACGTATCGCGATAAAATTTACGAAAATATTTATACATCAGCTGCTACCCGGGCGAGTTACGGTATAATTATAGATAATGAAAAAAAAGTGGTTTTTTAGTGTATAGGGAAACATACAATTTAAAAGCGTGTAATAAATAATGTTGTTTGAAGTGTGGACAATATAATGGCCTATGCGTGATTTTGTGGACCGAGGAGTCTTTTTTTATTTATCAAATTTAAAAAAAGAGAAGAAAGAAAGAAAAATGATGAACGACACATCAGAGTACTGCAGTGTTTCAGTGGGTCTTTTATTACACTTGAGAGCAATACAACAATCAAGACCTTGGCAAGCGCAAAGCTTTTAGCGTTAATTATTATCTCGTTGCACCGCAGTCTCGTGTGCCCACGATAAACGAAATGAAATAAAAAAAAAGGCCCCACTATTGAATACCGGTCGAACTACTGCATGCGTATAAATGCGAAGGCTCCCTCGGTTTGGCTGTCAAATTTACATAGGTATGTGTTTTACATTACATGTATATATATATATCCTGTTCATTAAATGCAAAGAGAAATTTAATTATCAAAAGAGGCGTAGCAATGGACTTCCTTTGAAAAATTAAATACTCGATCGAGGTATAAGTGAAAAGAACAGATGCTCGAAAACATGCTCATTCATTGCTCATTGACTTGTTTAAACACTGTAAAACATACTTATAATACATTAGCGGAAAATGTGTCATTTGCAATTAAATTTAAAAAAGACGCTCTTTTCCACGCTGAAAATTATTTCATACTTTTAATGTAAAATGTTACCTTCACATGCAACGATTTAGACGGATTTTCATCAGATTTTTAGTTGATAAATATAAACATATTCATCCAGCACACAAAAATTTTAAAACATACATACACCAGTTTGGACTAATTAATTCAATTGCATTAATGTATACTGATTGACGTTAATTTTTTTTTTCTGCTTTTACTTTCACAGGCATTGAAAAAATGCATGGCATTAAGAGAGTAGTTGTTTTTTGCATGCTCACAATGGTACTTCCAACGATGCTGCTTATAATACCGTTGTACTTGAAAAACAGTGTCTACGCTGATGTTCAGTTTGCCGTGACTGAATCGGATATCGTGGAGATCACTGATGGCATTTCGCCGATATTTTGTTCTGCAAGTGCCATTATGAAATTTCACTTTCATTTTTTTTAATAAAAAAAACAATGTTGTTCCTCGTGAAATTAAAACGTTTCAGAGTTTCCGAAAATTCGGGTTCTCAAGAAGTAGCTGGTCTAATATATAATACAAGTATTTTCTAACATTGTGAAGGAGGGTTCTGAAGTTTCGGAAAAATCTGAAATTTTTTTTTTTCGCTTTTCAAAGGACTATGAAAATTCAAAGGGCACGTGCAAAAAACTAATAACAAACTATTTTATTTTTAGGCGCATCATTTGAAAATGAACGAAACTTTTAATGCATTTCAAGTGTCTAGAAGACCAGAAAAGACTTCGTACAAGAAACACATAAGACTGAAAAAAAGTATGACCCTACCGGATGATACTCTCGAGTATTGGGGCTTCTATCTGTTGAAGGGCGCAAAAGTGGTACTGTCGGTTTGTTCAAGGTATACGTTTCTTTTGGAATTTATAATTTTTCTTTCTGTTGTTACGATATGTGCGTGAAAACGTTTTAATTTTTTAAATGTGGGCGAAAGTGCGATAACTTTGGCCACTTTAATTCTAAGAGCTTATTGTATCCATAAAAAAATACGTTTTACCAGTCGCATGTATTATATCGTAGAAACAAATTAAAATGGTTCCCTTTGATAAGAAAAAATTCTTGTTTACTATAATAGCGAGGTGGAGAAAAATTAGAGAACATAGAATGTATAAACAATACAGATATATAATAATTATTTTTCACTTTACTCTGCGTTATTTTCGCATGCTGTTAATTAATTTTTGTAGCAGTGTGCGTTATACTCTTCCTTTATTTTTAACCCATATTGGCTTTTAACAAGTTTGGTTCAAAATTGAAAAAAAAAAAAAAAAAAAAAAAAAAAAAAAAAAATTACAATAACTGACAAAAAATGTTTATCACAGGTTCGAAGGTGCATCCATTCTCGTGGTCAAGGGAGAAAGGAATTTACGAACTTGCGGTATGTTGGATCACAATAAAAACAAAGCAAGGGCTTCAGGAGTATTTATCCCCGAAGCTAAGCAACAGGTATGGATGTATAATATAGCAATTGGTCAAGCCATTTTTTGCGAAAAAAATAACAAATATAAACGCGTATGCCGTAGGTGAAAGTTACTTTTGAGTCCAATGCCCAAGAAATTAATTCTAAGGAGCAAATTTCGAGGAAAGCAGAATCTCATAAGAATCGCTTGAAACAAACGTCGAAGAAAACCCAAGGAACCGATGCGAACAGGACTGTATCATCAATGGCAAATACGAATTCATCCGTGAACTCAAGTAGCGCGGAAAAGGAAGAAAATTCGTCGGATGACAGCAAGGAATTGGACGCTTTTTTCAAAACATTCGAAGCAAACGTGACGAAATACACAAACGACGAGTTATCGCCAGGTTCGGAAAATACGACAAAGTCGTCCGACAAAGCGAGGCATCAGAAAAGCAAACAGTTGAAGCTGCAACCGGAAAATGACGATCCAAACGTGGAATCGGTCATTCATCGGCAAAAGCACAGGAGGAACAAGGAGACTTTGAAAAAAATCAAGGAACAAATGAAACAGAACTTGGAAAGCAAGGACGGTGGTGATTTGGAGGCGGAAAACGTTGGGAAAGAGGAGGACCCCGAAGCGGCTTACGCGAGGCAGAAGCGAAGCCAGGAGCCCATAAAGCCCGAATTGCTGGATAGAGGCATCAGGCACGGCGGTAACGCGCAGAATTTCGCTGACGACGATTCCTCGATATCGAGCTTCGAAAATGGCTTGCTGCAGTGCTACGAAGGCAACGTTCTTCTGGCTCACGAGTTCAATTCGTCGAGGGAGTGCATGGACGTGAATTACTTGCTGGACGGGAATCAGCACACCCAAGCGAATCACAATATTACCGAGGACGGGTACTTCTACTATATATTTTACAGTGACAATGACATAGTATCGAACGATATTCACGCGGTCTTTGATATTTACAAGCCTACTTTGCAGTACGAAAACGTCACCAAAGCTTGCATCAATAAGACGGAGTGTATTTTTCCCTTGCCGATCACTTCGATGGACAGAGTTATCGTCGAGGTGCCCACGAGAGATGGAATTGATCACGAAATCGATGACATATCGGTTCTCGTCTCCGTATGCGTGCCGCGTATGGGCGTTTACGCTATTTTCCCAATCTCGGTGATGTTTCTCATACTGGGTTGTGCTTTCATGTGAATTAACATGTGTCAGACTGGGAATTTGTACCGAATACATTAAATGCGGACTCTCGAGCAATGTGTGAAATCCTACGGTTAAACTATGTGTATAGTATGAACATTTTACATTACACACAACATATTACGTTTTTATTTTAAACATCTCGTATTTAGGAAATATATTTTATAAATAAATTATTTTTTAAGTAACGGAACGTGTTTGAAGAAATGAACTTATTAAAAAAGAAAAAAGAAAAATGTGATTTTAAATTTTTATAAGGCTGCATAGAGGACAACAGGGCAGTGATCACTTCCAAACACCTGGTCTCTATTTATTACGTCACAAACTTTGTTTTTAATCCTCTCAGAGACGATGAAGTAATCCAATCTCCTGTAATCGAAAATTGTAATATTGAGTACTTATTTTTTTATTATCAACTATGATTTATCAACAAATGACTCACCAGCCAATGTTTTTGCCCCTTGCATTTCTAAAATATGACCAGAAAGTATAGACTCCAGTTTTTTCGGGATACAAAAATCTGAAGGTATCTACATAACCAGCATTCAAAAAATCAGTCATTCCTTCTCGCTCTTCTGGAGTAAATCCAGCATTCTTGGTATTTGTTTTTGGATTTGTCAAATCTAGAAAAATTATTGAATAATGTTACTGATAGTACAGAAAAAAAAAACTTTGTTATTTTAGTTTGCAATTTTAGATACCAATTTCTTGATGAGCTACATTCATATCACCACAAACGATAACGGGTTTTTTTTTATCCAAATCTTGAACAAATTTTTTAAAAGCTTCATTCCACTTTAAACGTTTTGGTAAGGTTACTAATTTATTACCAGCATTGGGAACATCTGAAAATTTTCAAAAATATTCCAATAATCAAATTTATTTTTAAAAGTGTCTAGTATAAGTTTTTCACTTTAAAAATTTAACTTACAAACATTTAATACGTAATAGTTGTCATATTCAGCAGTGATGAGTCTTCCTTCATGATCAAACTCATCATTATTCAAACCATACGAAACATTGAGAGGTTTCTTTTTAGACAGCAATGCCAATCCGCAATATCCAGCTTTCTTACCTGAACACAAATGTATTTTAAAACTTTATTCCATAAATATTAGAGAATTCTTTGAGCTTACTGTCAAGAAAGTAATGTTGATATCCTTTCAATTTTACTTCATCAGGTATCTTCTTTGTTTCACACTTAGTTTCTTGCAATGCAATGATATCAGCATCTTCTTTTTCAAAATAATCAAATCCGTTTTTCTAAAGTTGATAATAATAAAAAGTAAATAGAGTTATTAACCACTTAATTTATTATCAAGTTACCTTTAACAATGCTCTAATGCCCGAAACGTTCCATGTGCAGATTTTGATATTGTATTTTTCCCCATCAGCATTATTTTTGTCACAATTAAAGTTTATCTCTTCAAGTTTCGTCTCTGTTTTATTCAACAGAGCCTTTGGTTCTGATTTATCTTCCACCTTCTTCTCAGTTTTTTTGGCTCGTTTTGGAACTGGTTCTTCAACTTCACTGTCACCACTGTCCTCCCCATTCTCAACTTCATCTTCATCCTTCAGTTTACTCTTGGATACTGCTTTCTTTGACGTTTCTTTATTTTCCTCTGATTTCTTAGCAGCCTTTGCCTTTAACAAATATTTTGTTTGTCGATTGGTTACTTAAAAATTTTTTATAGATATTTTCATTTGATTGTACAATTAATGAAAATTTAAAAATGTTGTGATAAAACGATTACAAAAACATAAAAAAAACATGAATAGTCAATAACGGAACGAGAGGCGGCAAAATCCTCTGCGAAAACTATCATAAATCGCAAGTAAATTTGAATTTTATGTTACTGTAACAATTAATGTTTAATATTTTAAAGACAGTATGGAGAAAACAGTTCACCAACCTTGGTTTGACGACCACGTTTTGGCGGCATCGCAGCGTCTCTAAATAAACTCGAAAAAAGGTATCCTGCAACAATTTTAAATTGTTGATTGTTTGAAAACAACAGCAAGGGCCTCGTGGTCCCGGTTTTTTGTCTGTGTTTTTGCAGCTGTAGTACAGTTCGTTTCAAACAATTCAAACTGTCATAGAAACTGTACAGAGGGAAGATTGATTTCAGAAAAATCATATTCGGGGAATGTTTTTAAGTCATAAGAGTCGATAAGATAACTAGATAAGAGGTCCTCAAATCAGATGGCGCCAGGGGTGGTAGTCTACGAGGGGAATTTTCCCCCGAGTTTTAATTATAGGAGTACTTTTTAGTTCGACATTCGTAGCGCGAGATGGCGCTGATCCTAAAATGCACTAGTATAGGGTAGTAGAGTAGGGTAACCCAATTAAGGGTAGTCCTCCCAAGGTGCTCTGGGTGTCAGGGTGTGGGTGTGGATTAGGGTTACTGTAATTTAAAAGTTAGTTAGTAGGAGAGTCTTTCAGTCGTGAGGGACAAAAACTACGAAAATAGACTAGAAAATAGCGAGCTTCGATGATTTTTCCTTTTTTGTTGCCGATACCATAATTTATTGTTCAAGCGGGTACCAAAAAACATCATCGTTGAGACTGGAAAAAAATACGCGAATTAAAAAAAAAATAAAGTCTCGTATGTGCATTTGTTGTCGAGTAATTCATTTTGCAATTAATAATGAAAGCGCAGCATGCAAATCGGATGGCGATGTCGGTATACATATAGCAGTGCGTTGCCAGACTTTATCGACGTAGCAGAGCGATTTCTCAACAAATATTTTGGCAATTGATGTCTATAATTATATTTTTTTGTGTATCTTGGCCTTTCCAAAGTAAACATCCAAGTTTCAATAGTCTACACGCAAGTAGGTCAGGCTCAACAAATAAAAATATTTACCTCACCTTCTGTTGGGCCTATGATGGACTTTTTTTTTTTATTCTTAAAAAAAATCGGCGTAATCAAATGCATTCGATTCCAAACCTCTATGCTGTTGAATAACAAAAAGCGGTTGTTTATCAATAACAAAAAAAAAATTGTTAAAAAATTTTAAAACTCTACTTAATTACAGATGGTAATACCTATCGATTGCAATTGGTTTTATTGAGATTTATTTTTGGTGACAGAATTTACATTTATCTAAACTTTCAAATTAATAATTACGCAATTGGTCGCCATATTGCTTTTGAAAAAGTAAACTGAGCACATTTTGTTATCAATAATAATATACCTACCTACCTATCTAATACCCACATTTCAACAATGAAACATATCTTCCCTCATTTTTTCTTATCTCTTTTTTTTTCGCTTTTAATAACTATGCCGCATGTTTTCAGTATGAAAAAATAATTTTCAACTCTTGAAAAAATTCATACCTACACGTAAAATCACTGACTAACTTTTGCACTTCACTTTTTCTCTATATGTACAATGTTTCATTTCCAAGATATATTGCAAGATAACTGAAAGAAAGGTAAAAAAAAGTATCTTCCAATATCGTTTACTCCAACATGATGGATCATTACGTGGGCAATGGCCTTCATTAAATTCCATCCAGAGGTACTCAGGAAATTAAAAAATGCACTTTAATATAAATTATAAAAAAGTATATAACACAGTGAATTATTTGCGGAATCTTTCATTACTTTATTAAAAAACATATAATAAATACTAAGTATATTTGTAGTTGCCATTGCAGTCTTAAGTTTTATAACTTTGTGCACGTTATATTAAGCAAGCCGTACTTTTTTGCAGACGCTTTGTTTGTGAAGTATTTCACGCAGTTTCCTTGTCACTTGCTCCAAATAGCTACTTTCACTGCCTTCAGTGTTGTTATTATAGTGTCAAAACCTTTTGCATGGTAATAATTCAGAAGGCTCGTCCTCAACTGGAGTGGAATAATAACTTCATGTTCGGTTTCGCAAGTAGTAGCTTTTTGGCAAAAGTCGTCAGCAAGTTTTCATACTTGATTAGTTATTACTTTTGGTGATTCTGCTACTACCCTGTTGTTACGTTTTACTGAATTGTGTTTGAGATCACTGTTGCTGCTTATTTGATGGATAAAAATTATTTACAAATCATTACTATCCTAAATAAATTATTTTTATCGCGTTACATGAATCATAAATATATGTAAGCTATAGAAATATTTGTCATAAGAAAATATGGCATCAGGAAAAAACTTGTATGTACATATAATTCGAAAAAAATAATGTATTAACCTGTTGACTGATTGCACTTTTATTTTTATATATAAATGTCCTTAATCGTTGAATTTTACGAATATTGACAGATTTCTGTTGTAAACACATTTTGGCCAAATCAGGTAGAAAGGTTGCCGTTATCGCATTGTTTGACCTCCAGTTTTCTAAAAGCATTTCATTTTTTCTTATACAACTTCCAATTGTTTCAACATCAAACAACGGCGAGTTTAATACACCTAAAATAACGAAAAATCATTTTTTTAATTTTTATTTTAAAATACATATTCGTATTACAATGAAAATTTTTCCCACTACCTGTGTTTTTGGAAGTATTTTTAACCTCTGCATCGAATCTTGTTACCTTTTATCAATTTTTCAACTTTCACTCTTCTTTTTTTCCTTGAAATGGTCCCAATAGCCTGGTTTGCAATAGTACCACAATCGCTAGATTTTATTTTAGGTAGAATAATACGTTTTCGTTTGGAACCGCATTTTATTTCCATGGTTTGTAGGTGATAAATTAAGTACACAGTATGAAACACTGAAACACTGATAGTTTAGCCACAGCTAGCTGACGTACGACCACTGACCTACTACGTGCTAAATGTGCGTTATCACTTATGACGTCATAAGCCAGTTCACTTGCCGATGGTGTGATTACAGTAATTTTGAAACTATATTGTACAAAAACGGCAAGACATTATTACATTTTTTTAGAGTACCGATTATATTTGATGGACATTCTAATAATAGATTTTAATGGGAGATTGGGTGTACAGCAACACCTCATAGGCAAACGAAAATAATTGTTTCTCATTAAATTTTATGAAAGTCGTTGACTGTACTTTTTTTTTTTTTTTTTTTTTTTTTTTTTNATGATAACATTGAATTTTACTATCTTATCAAACATGTTAAAAACCATGATCTAGATAACTCAAAATCTTATAAAAAAAAGTATTTATTGTAAAGTACAATATAACTATAAAATTAATCATATTATGTTGTCATAAAAATAATGATGATTTGCCATCAAGGAACTTTTGCTTGTAAAACTGATACGACGTTTTTATCAATTAGATAAAGTATTATTGTCAGACTTTATAAGACGACATTCTTATCGAGTCAGTAGCATAGTGGGAATTGTCTTGTATGAATCTGTCACTACAGACAATCGTGTAGTCAAAACCAGTGTTGTTTTTTTTTTTTTTTTCTTCAAGTACACGAGCATGAACAAATTAATTATCTTGAGTTTTTGTGTTTGTTTGACCTTCACCTTAATCCAAGCTAACCAGCATGGAGAAGATTATTCCAAGGTTTGAACACGTATTTAATTTTTTTTTTTTTTTTTTTTTTTAATCATCCATGAGGCAGAATGGTTCTAAATCTTACTCGATTGCTATTCATTTCATAAAAAATATTTTACGTCAATTAATTTTAAAGTACAAAGTAATTTGTTATGAAACATATCGCAATTACGTTGACTCAAAACATTTGATCCAACAGATACAAAAAATGTACAAAACTGTAAAAGCCCAAGTGTGTAAGAAAAATTTTAATTAAAGAAAAAAAAGAAAAGATGGACAAACATGAAATTAATTAAGGAAGCGTTTATTTATTGAAAATTTTCGTAGCATACAAATATTTGCAAACGCAAAAACCCCACGTGCGTCTGACCGTTCGCAAAACACATTACAATTTGTAGATATACAATAACATATTTAATATATAATAGCAATATAAATGCATGGAAAACGAAAATTTTCAAGAAAAAAAGTGCAAAACTACTCTATAACCATCAAAGGCACGGTCAGAGACACTACATGTAATGTATATAATATGCGATACAATATCAATCAATTATTGTAATGATTAGTAAATATATATATCTGTATCTCTTATAACCCAAAATATAGAGGCGTAATCAGCAGCCACATGTAAGTAAATAGATTATGTACGAACGACGCGGGCGCACGAGCGCCTCGTCACGTAGTAGGCCACCATCGAGATAAGCAACAATGATATGCCTCTCATCGACTCCGACGCAGCGGTCCACTCATTCAACCATGAGCCCCAGCCAACAACCATCACCCAATGGCTTTCTCCTTCGACACCTTCACCGATAACCGATTGGCACTGCGGTGGACCAGCGCTGAAGCCCACCGGGGAGACGATGGTGATGCAGTGTGAAAAAACAACAACAAAGTAGGGATGTTTGTTCCCCCGTTTCGGGGCCGGTTCGCAATCAGTGGCCGGCACCGATGACACCGGCGCTCGGGCCCTCGGCGGTGCGGGCGCCACTGCGAAGGCCACTCCAAGCGAATAGTCCCGCGTCATTGGCGTCGATTTTCTTGAAGTTGTGCACAGAGTAGCGGTTGTACAGGCCCCAGATGCTGTTCATCAACTTGCTGTTGTACTTGAGCGGGGTGGGCTCGCGACCTGCAATTTGCAATGTATATATGCTTGAGATTTTCCATGGTTCGTTGCATGGATTGGAATTATAGGACATGACTTTTTTTTTTTTTTTTTTTTTTTTTTTTTTTTTTTTTTTTTTTGCTTGAGATGTTTTCTGTTACGGATAACAGTTTAAGAAATTAGCAGAAGCGTTACTTGGTTTTTTTTAATCTGCACAAAATTATCGGTCGTTACCGTGGCGGTACATAGTATTGGCACATACGGGAGATCCCCGGGAATTATTTACAGAAAAAAGAAAGTTGCTTCGTTATCGCAACTGTTCCGCAGCAGCGCCTCGTGATTATTTTCTCTGCCAAAGCAAAGAGTGCAGTAACGTGCATCAAAATTGTCGACTTTTTTACACGTAAAACGAATTTCGAGCCCAATTGAGCTCGTCTATGTATGCAGTAACAAATTAACGGTGCAGTCAAGGTGTAAATTTAAACAAAAAAATAATGACACAATTTTTGTTTTAAATTTCACCAAACCTAAGGATAAAGTTTTTTGTTCCTCGCAGTAACGCACACGTATACATATGCATATTCTATCATTTGGTATTTAAGATCCGTAGCGTATTTATACATACAGTAGATTTGCAATGGGTACAAGAGAAATTAATGGCACTGATTGGATAAACTTTTTACTGCGGTGAAAAATGGTACGTGGGTCATACGAAAAGTTGGATTTTTCGCGTAATTTTTGTTTTTTCATTGTTTTTTTTTTCCAAACTTTCGTTGCTCCCATAAATAGGTATATCAGTAACGTACCCTCTTGTAAAACCTGGGAGCCGGAGCCTTTGCCGCCTCTCTCCTTTCCCTCTTCGCGGATCTTCTTGACAAAGGGGACTCGGCACTGCTGCTTTTGCTGCTGGAAGCTCTTGCGCACCTGATAAACCGCAAAAGCGCTTTGTGGAACAGCTGACATCCTATTGCATTCTACGGATGGAAAAATCATGAAATGACACGTTACATACGTCTTCAATTAATCGTTTCGACGTGACATTCGTCTTATATATAGAAAATAAAAATGTTATATGTGTGTATACGAATCCTCACCAACACCGATAGCTTCGAGCAACGATTTCTCGATCAAAGTAGCGATTTCCTCGCGCAGTTTGTTCCCCGCTAACTCCACGGGTGATCCCTCAAACCACATACAGACCCTTTTCTTACTCTTGGACGCGAAATTCAGCCTCTCGCGGGAAAAACCTCAAAATTGTATTGCTGTATACGACGATTGATGGTACTTAGATCTTCAGCTTTGGTATATATTTATCCGTGTGTTAATCGTACACCAATGAAAATAAGTGTATATCGATCGAATGTACGTTCCAGAAAGAGCTGCCTTTTTTTTGTTCACACGTATACACTCTATTCACGATGCGAAACAAAAGAAATGCACTCCCGGAGCAAGTGGTATTGCCCTTATATCGACCTATTCGGAGGCTGTACAAGACTTTGTCCTGCAGATACGTATATTTTCTATAAATAGTACAACGAGGAAAAAGCCTCAATCACGGATACGTGCGTGTACTGATTGTGAAAAAAAAAAGTAAAACGCGCACACAACACGATATAGAAAAACTTTCAGATGTAGGTAGTTGTCTAAGCGAGTAAGCGAGATGCACTGCAAGTATGTAACTGAATCGAACGATCGGTTGGCTAGCCGATTTATAAAGTTCTCGCCGACCACCGGACTCGCAAGCTATACATCACGTGTCTTTTCCCTTATCTCTCGCCGAGCGTGTGTCCGAACGCTCGGGGGTGACCCGTCGACGCGTGTTTATACATAGACGTCTCCACGTCTCTTGTTGTTTCTTTTTTATCCGCATACTCAAATCGTATACATATATATTTGTCTGCGACTCGCGCTGATAACTCGTCTCCATGGGGAGTCGTTTACGTGGACGTGGATAACGTGCCAACTCGAAACATGGCGACCGCTGGTCCCCCCCCCCCCAAAGATTCACTGGAACTTATTTTATCAACAATTTAAACGACGAGTATCTCTGTAATTAAATGTATTTTTTTTCATTTTTTTTNTGTTTTTTTTTTTTTTTTTTTTTTTTTTTTTTTTTTATTATTATTACAGACCATGTATATGGTTGACGAAAAATCGGGCACTTGTATACATCACGTCGTTTTTGTGTTTCCAAAAATAATTTTTGTTACGTATATGCCACGTACATGATTTTTAGTTTATCTCTGTAGAACATTCGTTGCCGTCGTATTCAATATCGAGTGAACACGCGTGCCCACTTTGTTTATTGAAAAAAAAAAAAAACACGTTTCCAGCCATATACTATGTTTGCTCAACATTAGCACAGAGTGCAATATATTTTACTACACTGTCCGAAATTTGAGGAGGTGCTTGTTGGACTTTCTATACTCCTACACCATTATGGCTTATTTTTATTTTTTTTTTTTTTTTCCTCTCAAACTGCGCCAATATGATAAGAACATATCGCTATGATACGTTTAAAGATTGCTAAACACAAATAAAAATGATTTTTCATTGTGAGCGACCGAGAAGTAGCTTTTGCTGATAGTTCGGACGCGAGCAGTGTACTTGCTGTTGAAAAGTTTTAATTAGCACGTAAAAAGTGTTTTTGGTGCACTGTGCGTGCATTTCGAATTTTAATCCAGCCTTTAAACCCATGTGTGTATGTATGATAGGTAACAAGTGCACCTTGACGCAGTTTCACTGTTTCTCTCTCGTCTCATTTTCACTAAAGCGGATAAAAAAAATTGTTACTTTGTTTACAAAGATTACTTGCATCTGATTTATGTAAAAAAAAATGATTTTAATGACAAACGCTTGTTAATTAAAAAAGTTGCATTACAAAGTGACGTTACAATGTCATTACCAACGAATTGTGGCAATCTACTGCATACACCATTAAATGAAAAGCATACTTCTTTCTGTAGTAAAATTCGAGAACGTACACGTAAATGTTCAACGTTTTAGCTTCCTTTTATTTAGAAAATCGTCAATTTGTGATTACGCGTCAAATAAAATATAAAATACAAGTGTTGTCTGTACCTTTACAGCAAACAACACATGATTTTCCGTCAAAGTACGTTTTTATTAGTTGTCGAAACACATTTATTTAATAAAAACTTACTTAAACGTTGCGATACTGGCGGACTGGTAATGTAAATATTTATAAATTTTAACCCAATGCACCAGATAACATAATATAACGAATAAAAATAAAAAAAATAAAAATAAATAAAAGAAAACCCTCTTGTTGCAAAACTGTAAGCAATTAAACGAATGAGTTCTTTGTGTCAATATCATTCATTAAACTTGATCGAAGTATAAATTTAAATCAACATAAATATGTGTAAAAAATCAGAACGGCTAAACAAAATTCGTGACATTAATCACGATTGTCAGTTACTAATACCATAAACGTATTAACGTAATAAAAAAAAAAAAAAAAAAATTATCTGAAGCCAGTGTACTACTAGGCAAGTATTAGCCACGTAAAATAGTTATGTATAATAATATAGATACACCAATATGAGCACACTTTCCTTGAATTCGAGCACATTACACGTAAACTGCCGTAAGCTTGGGCTTACGCTCGCAAGACGTCATTTTCTCACTCGAGTCAGGGTTATCTCGGATATATATGCATTTAAGTTGTCCTCTTTGATAAGAGGAGAAAAGAAGGAAAAAGCTGGACTGAAACTTCACTGGATGATCTTGCTTTGTTCTTTATTTACTTTAACCCTGTTTCGTTCCGTCAAAAGTATACAACTTGATCAGAGTTTTTCTTCGAGGGGGATCATCGACTTTCGCCATCGATTGCAACGGCCGCGTTTGCAGGGCTTATATTAATAAGCAAGAAGATTCATGTGTAAAATGAAGGCGGTTATTGGCTGTTGCAAGGAAATCACTCAGAAAATACCGTGATGGAAAAAGTTATTTATTTGCTAAAAATATTATGCTTTCCGAGGTTTAAAACTACATGGTTTATAAATGATTTTATTTTTGGAATAATTATGTAAAAAATTTAATTATATTATACTGTATCCTTTTTCATTATTAAATATAAAGTATGTACACGAAATGACATTGTTTATGGTGTATTTGTTGCAAAAAAAAAAAAAAGTTTAACTAAACTTGTGCAAATCATAGTTTTCACTCGTTTTTTTGCCTAAAATTTGTTACCTAACTCTTTTTTTTTCTCAATTTAAAAAACTCCACTGAGAGTTAGTCTGTACGTAAAAAATAATTCTCGACTCTAGTGTAAAGTAGAATTAACTTACTCTTGGAAATTTATTTGATTGCTCATACTAGTAATAAATATTTGGTCATAAAATTTATTCAGAGTACACTACGATTGATTAAAATATTATTAGCTCGTGTAGTGATGCAGTAAATACATCATTCGAATAATAGGCAAGAGAGTACTAAAATATTCGGTATAATATTTAATATTTAGAGAAGAACTGAGTTTTTATTAGTTAGTAACATCTAATTTAATGATTTTTTTCAGCTGGATGTGCATTTGACGCCATCATTCAAACATTTAAAACAATTTACAAATAATGTTTATTATTTATCAGTGTAATATTAAATTACTTTACAGTTTATTGTTAAAGGCAAGAAAGTATGTTGTACATTCACATGACGAAAAAAATTTACTCGTAAGTGGTGCTAAAAGAGCTTTTAGTATCTCCCACTTTGCATGTGTTTGCTGAATTATGTAAGAATATGGTACACGGTTATTGTTTTGAGTTTTCTTTATCTTGTTTACTCGTATGACTAACGTTAAACAACTTATTTATAACTCTCGCTCAAATTTATTATAAAAAAAGTTCTTAGTGGTTGATTAAGCTTATTTTGACAGTAATGTAAATTTTTGTAATTAATATTATAACCACTGATGCAAAAGCATTGTGATTGATGTGAATAATGACCTGTAAAAACAAAAAAGTAATTGCTATAATTCAATGTTAAACCAAATGGCTACAAAAATCTGTTTATAACCAATAAAATAATAAGTTGCAAGTAAAAATTTCAATCTAACTTACTGCTTTTTTAATAAAATTACTGTTGACAATGTTAAATATTGAACTACAGCAGTAAAACCACCGAAAAAAAACATCTTTTATTATGAAATTTTTCAAGTTGTTATTTTTAAAAATCCAATGTTTTAAATTTGTTGGTCAAATGTTATGAAAATTTTTAAATTGACAGCCTGTCAAAAATATTAAACAATAAACAATAAGAGTTATTTCAAGAAATAACAAGCGTCATGACACCTCTTGGGCGCATAAAATTACTGAATCTTTTTTTAATTTAAAGTTGCCTCGAACTTACAATCAGACGAACTGCAACGCCACTTTGACAGTGAATCAGAATCACTCAAGATGAAATTAGCAGCTCTGCACATTTGTTTTATTTTAACAATACTTTTCGGCCAGGGACAATCTTTACCAAAACATGGAACAATCAAGGCTGTACGTATTTTATAAGTTAAAGTACTATTATATTAATAATAGTACTTTTACTAAATTTATTTATACATTGGAAATAAAGTTTATTCGAACAATGTCTAATGTGATTAAGTATGTATGTTTTTTTAGTCTGAAGTTACTTTTAAAGGAGAATCAGAAGGTACTAACCAAAAAGTAAGTAACCAAAATGAAATTCCCGACATCGAGGCTGTAGAAAGATACATATTAATCGTACCCACTCGATCTCCTTGCCCGAAATGTCATAGACTTGATCGCAATGAAAGATGCCGATATATAGTAGGTTGTGCATGAAGGTAAAAAATATTTTCCAACGGCCCCACTATTATTAGTACTAAAAATTTTCTAGCTTTATATTTTTACGACTTAGATATTAAAACTAAAATTTTATTTGCAGGTGCCAAAATTTTTAAACGTTCTATGGAATTGTGTTTACTAAAATTTGAATAAAGACTTTGAAATAAAAACATGTAAAATTCTTTTTATTGATATTTTCGACGGTGAAATTCAAATAACACTGAATTAGTATCGTAATTTTAAATAAAAAACTCAAAATAAATATACAATATGATAACATTGAATTTTACTATCTTATCAAACATGTTAAAAACCATGATCTAGATAACTCAAAATCTTATAAAAAAAAGTATTTATTGTAAAGTACAATATAACTATAAAATTAATCATATTATGTTGTCATAAAAATAATGATGATTTGCCATCAAGGAACTTTTGCTTGTAAAACTGATACGACGTTTTTATCAATTAGATAAAGTATTATTGTCAGACTTTATAAGACGACATTCTTATCGAGTCAGTAGCATAGTGGGAATTGTCTTGTATGAATCTGTCACTACAGACAATCGTGTAGTCAAAACCAGTGTTGTTTTTTTTTTTTTTTTCTTCAAGTANTCATTTATGTTTATAAAATTTTTTTTTTTTTTTTTAATTTGAAAAATTGAACGCACTTTGAATAAAATTGTTATATTTTTAGTTTAAAAATCCAAAATTATTGGCTGTATTGAAAGATTACAACGAACACAAATCTGAGAGGTCTCCTTACAACATCATAGATCCACCAAGACGCTGTCCACCGTGTTACCAAAAAGATCGAAATGGAAAGTGCAGGCACATCATTGGTTGTAAAGAATGAAGGTAACGCAATGATTCTACGAGGTGTACAAACAACTAAATTTATGTGTATTGTGTAAATATACGCAGTTCTTTTGAGTGAAAGAATCTTTTTTTCTTTCAATACCTATTTTCTTTTTTTTTTTTCTTTTTTTTTTTATTAAATCATCAATGAGCGTATCTTTCTGCAACGAACATCAAATCATCAAAACTTCCCAAACTAAATTCATACAAGTATAATTTTACTAACTCTATTAAAGCTTGTTAGTCTTTGTTAGTAACTTTGACATTTCCACCATCAGATCCGTGAAAAGTCACAATATAATAATTTACCAAGTAAAAAAAGTTTAATAATCAAACGATTTGGCAAGAATTTGAAAATAATAACAATAAAATCAATTTAATGTTTATTTTATTTAAAAATCAAAGATGATTCAACATATACTGTATACCTTTTCTTGTACAACCGTATTGATTTATTCTTAAATAAAAAAATATACTGGCCAAAAAATTTCCGCTTTCATTCAATATTACGTCTTAAAAAAAACTTTAAGCCTAAAATAAATACCATGATGTTAAACATTTGCTTAAAAAATCCTTGATGTCAAAAACTTACTCGCTAATCTCCCAAATTATGGACGCATAACTTTTTTTCATGCTACAAAATATTTTCATAAACATGAAATGCTACATCAGAGGAAAACAGTTTATGATTTTGCTTATTAATGGTAGTTTTCCTACGAGTTTGAAAAGTCTCTGTTAGCGAACCGAGAGGTAACGAGGTTCGAACGAGTTCCGGAAAACTGCTTTTTCGCCCGAGGAAGTACCAGCCTTCCAAAACCACCCGAGGGCGGAAAAAACAATTTTTTATCATCGTTCATCGCAATCTTATGTTATAAAAATGTTTTGAATGACAAGAAACAACCATTATTTAAAAAAAACAATAATAATAAATTAATTAATTAAATAAAAACAAATAAATAAATATTTGTAACAAACATCCGAAGAACAATATGACGTTGTGTATTACAAAGGAAAATGTTAACTCGATGTACCTATTCCACAACGTAACGAAATACGTACAACGAAATTGCGCAAGACAGCACAATTAATTTTTCGTACGTGCTCTTTTCGCGAACTCGTTGGAAATAATCTTCGTAGGATATCCATCGGTGAATTAAAAATCAATCCGTTCGCGTAAAGGCATTCGAACAAAACAAATCTTATTTTTATCCTCGTGCGCGTTGATATCAAAGAGATAAGGCGCGCTAATGAAACAGTAATCGATAAAAGAAATGCACTTTCCTGGAAGCAACGTAAAAAAAAAAAAAAAAAAAAACTTTGCAAGTGTCAAAACACTTTTTTGTTCAAGCGTGCAGATTAATGAAGAAAAAAAATGTAAAATGACAAACAAGCGATCCTGTATACACGGTGCCACGCATCCCACGCGAGAAGTACCAGAGCCTTACATACGTCTTACGTAAAACGCGTCAGGTAAACACATCACATAATACACCATATATTAACAAGATTGGCGCAGAAAATTGCCTGCAAGCACCTACACCTGCTCACGAATCCTTGCGACTCCTGGCTCTCGGCCAATTACGTAAACCCTCATTGGTGTATATGCACGCCTGCAGGTATAACGGCATATAAACGGCACGCATCGCGACCCCGCGCAACAGCCTTGCAACTCGCGGCCGAGGGACAATCATCGTTCCAGCTTTTAGATGATAATTAACGCGAAGGAGAAAACAAAGTGGTAATCTCGTCCCTGATCTGGAGATGCTAGAAATCGGTTTTACCATTTTTCCGTCACTGTTGTCAATCAAAGAGTCGGTCGCGCTGATTTTTCAACATTGTTAAACAAACGATAACGATCCTTTTCCCGTGGATTTTTACAGAAGCACGTGGCACAAGTACAACCTTATTGCTCTTATCTAAAAAGCGAAATTCCAAAAGTAAGATAGATCTTAAAAGTGCGAGAACTCTTTTCGAGAAAAATCAGAGTGGAGCATGAAAATGAGTACAGATACCCGCGGGTGTGCGCTTATTTATAACTTTTTAAAACGTTCCCCATTGGGGGTGACAAAACCCCCTGTGAGTCGAGCACCTCGTGCCCCCTTGGAAATCTACAAATCGGAGTACGGCTTCACCGTCCTATGCGCGCCATATATGTATTTTCACCCCGTAGTCGCGCGTATGCATATATATATATATGTATATATATACGTATAAGTCGGTAAGTAAGTGAGCGAGTGTAAGGAGGACCGGGGGAAAAAAGGAAGACGGTCTAGCTAGCCGTCGGCTTATCGGATTTCATTTGCCGCAGAAACGCGGTGGCGCGTATATAGACGGATCTCTACAAGCAATGCTTATATCACTTGCTTTGCGTGTTTCGGCGAGCGCACCGTTTGTTTCGTCGCTCGCTCGCTCCCTGTGCGCGCGTGTGTTATATACTTAATTAATATTGTATTGTAAAAAGTGACGTTCGGGCGCGTCAGCGATCTTTCGAGGTGCGATCGGCATGCTCGCCGATTTTTTGGCCGAACGGCCGACGTGAGGCCGGTGAAATCGGCACATGATGGGATGCTGTGGCGGTGTGCAACTTTATTGATTGAATTTAATAATATACACTTTCGTAAGGTGCATTTATCAAATTTAACACAATTTGCGAACTGGACCAAAAGACATTAGTACCGCGTATACCCAATGTACAGAATTATCAAAAGAAGAGTATACATATTAGGGTATATAAAATCTCAAGATCAAGTTCATACCTGTACACGAGATTTTCCCATTCGAATAACACTTCGGAGCGAGACGAATAGTGCATTGACATGAGCAGCAGGTATTACACGGGGTGTGTAACACGATAACTCCTGTGCGTGCGTGTGTACGTGTGTATTGATTACGTATGAGGTGAGCCCTTCGTAACTGAAAAATATATAACACTACGCGTTTGAAGATTGAGAATAATTTTCCATTAAACGCAGACGATTCGAGGATACAATCGATCGAATTGACGAATTCTTCGATTTTTATCAATCCATCGGGTGACGACTGTTGCTTATGTCACCAGCGAATTATATAAGCTAGACGAGAAAATGCCATTTTTTACGATTTAGCGTGTCAATGTCAAAGGTCTTGCGAAACGTCGCTGCTTGTTTTTTTCTCTCTTCTTCCATTTTTCCATTTTTACCATTTTTTTTGTTTTCGTTTTACCCGTCAATTAACTTTTACATTAAAAATACAACCGATCGATGGATGATAAGCTAATCAATAACCCAACTACCTTACCACGCTCGCAGCAATAAATGCCAAAAACCATAAATTAAAAAAAAAAAAACAAAAAAAACATAAATGGCCGGCTACTCGAACTGGGAGATCTCTTACCGAGCTTGACACTATACTCACGATAAGCAAAAGCACAAGTACGTGCATTTACACACGTATAAACAAGCGCGTACAAAATAAGCTTATCGGCCGGTTGGCCGATTTTTTATCGCCCCCATTTTCTCCGAGCTCCACCTTATGCGCTTGGTCACACTCTCTCTCTCTCTCTCGATTTCATCTCTGCATCATCTGTCGTTGTTGCGTTGAGGTACAATAACAAGAAGAGTTGAAAAAAGAAAGAAAGAAATCATGGCCGACCCGACGATACAGACCTTTTGCTGTCACCACAACAATCGCACGGACATGGCCATTGTTATCATGAACGAGTTCAACTCGGACGCTTACAACACGGTCTGCATGGTTTCGTCGTTTATTGGCATACTCGGTGCCATTTACCAGGTGATTTTTTTTTTTTTTTTTTCATTGTTTCTTGATCGATATTGTTTTAGAATTGAGGGGTTTTTTTTTAGTATACAAAAAAATTGTTTTCGCTCGATTTTACGTTTCATTTAACATTTTTCCAAGCTTTGACTATACAATAATCGAACATGAGCACGGATACTTTTGCAAAATTTTTTCAATTACTTCTTATAGTGCTTAAACATTAAATATTTAATTACATTATAATATCTTAAATGCATTGCGTTTATATGTTGAAAAATTTTTTTTTCATTAGCATTATATTGTGAATAGTGATAAATAAAATAGAATATTCTTCCATCGCAAGAAAAAAATCAATTTAAATCGTAAGAAAAAAAAAAATGTATGTCAAGTATGGTGATAGTAATAATAATAAATGAAAAAATTTACCTATAAAACGCAGATATTGCCCCGACAAGAGTCAAATATTCCGCACAGGTGGCAAGGATTTTCTGCAGCCAGAGGTCGAGAGATCATCATGTGGCTAGCTTTGGCCGATCTTTTTGCTTCGTTGGGTACGTATGTATACGCGTTTGCGACTTTTTGAACAATTTATCATAAAGCAATGTATTTATTACTCGATAATATAATCAATCAGGTGTCTTCATCCGATCGGCACTTTGGATGAATTTCAGGGCAATAATGCCGTCAGCGGATGACACGTCTAGCGTTGTCTTTTGCGCGTTCACATCGGTAAGATGAAAGCCGCATGAGCGAATTAATGTTTCGAAAAATCGTTCAATGGGTTGTGTGTTATTAATTTTAGGCGTGGGTACAGTACTTCTACATGGCGACGTGGATCTGGACGTTGTGCTACGCCATCGACATGAAACTCCTCTTGGGCGAACGAGTGGGACGGCCACTGTTGTATCACCTGTTCGCGTGGCTAAGCCCAGCCTTTCTGACCACTTTCGGTCTTTCCCTATTGTACTATCCAGACGCGGAGTGAGTGCTTTTTTTACCAATTTTTAATGGCGAGGTAAAATAACAGCCAACAACAATCAACGTGTGGCTTTTCAGCTGCCACAGTTTGTCCTCGCTGTCCTCGGCTTTACGGCGCATACTGCCCAACTACATAGCGACTTACGTTCTTCTCTTCACCGTAATGTTGGTCAATCCTGTTTTGTACCTCCTGTCGTCGAGTGACTTGAAAAACGTCGTCACCTGCACGATGGCACAGATGACGGGCAGGGAGAGAAAACTATTCCAGACTGTAAAACTCAAGTTCTTCATGACCAATCTCGTCTACTACGTTTGCTGGCTGCCGAACGTGGTCAACGGAGTTCTGCTGTGGACTTTGTGGTTCAACCTGCCGATCAAAGTAATCATCACTCTATGGTACATAATGGTGAGTTGTGTAGATGGTGACAGCATTTGTAAAAAAATGTATATATTTAACAATGAAGCGAGAGCAACGTATTTTTTTTTTTCTTTTTTTTTTTTTTTTGCAACGACAGGCGGTGACGAATCCCCTGCAGGCGCTGTTCAACGCGCTCGTTTACAAGAGATGGGGCGGCCGGGAAAGATTCCGGATGGAGTGGTTCTACAAGCTAAAGAGGCTCAAGTCGAATTATTTCAAGCACAGCGCCGACAACTCCGAGGCGAGCGAGTCGTCGCCGCTCGTCAACTCGCGGCACAGAGCCACGCCGCACACGAGCATCAACGGCTCCTCGTCTCTGTGAACAAAAAATAATTACCTGTGATAATTATAACTACACACCCCTTACTTGCCTGCAATTGTGACACTAATTGCACAGCGCATTTTATCTTTTTCTTTCCTTCGCGGATGTTGTGGGGTTTTCGAAGGAGCGAGTCGACGCGTCGAAAAATAACTTTTTCTGCCAGTACAAACTCGTAGCTTTTTAGGATATTACTCAGAAGACGTCATATTATTATATTGTATGATTGCCAAGAAAGTATGTGTGTGTGTGTGTGATTGTTACGTATACTTTTATTAGTTCCAAACCAGTTGATGAGGTGATCACCTCTCAGGGTTTTGTTTCTATACAAATTACATATATACATAGAATTATATTAATGGTATCTTTTTATACAGTTAACAAATTAATTTTCGTGTGTCGCCCTCAACACTGTTTCGACAGTTCGTGGGTGCAGTGCAAGGCTTCAGTCTGGACATCTCAGTTTACGAAATGTGACTTAGATGTCGAGTCGGAAGCCTGGCAGCACACATACAATTATACATCAGGCTGTTCTAGGGCGGGTTTGTATTTCCTGCTCTACAGGTACCCTACTTATCATGTGGAACGATGTATTTGGAAGCTTATGGAGATTCGTAAAAAACCTAACGCGGGATATCGATCATATCCCTTTATTTTTAAAATTTTTTCTCGTAAGTGCTAGAAATATTTAGCGCAAACATGTCAAAATAAGCTCCTTATGTACAGGATTTTATGGTATTTACTAAAAATGATTTTTATGTTTTTTTTTTGTTTTTTTTTTTTTATTTTAATTTTTTTTTTTCGTTGCCGTCCATATTACTAATAATTTATTTAGCACCTCGTAAAAATATATTATTAAAAAAATAGATAGTCATGGATTTTTTTTTTCTTGTATGCAAATACAATTTCTTCTATAGTATTTTACTTGAAGTTTATGTTTTTTTATCCTCAGATCGACAGGATGAATAAGTTTCCTAATGAAACAGTCAACAACTCTTACTAAACAAAAATGGTGAAACGCTATTAATAATACGCTAAAATTCTTAAAAGGCTTAGTTACTAAACTTTATCAAACGACTCTATCTCCATTGTTCGATGATATATGTATATCACAATAAAATAGTAATCTAAGCCATGTTTCATGCTCTATTTCAGTAGAAAAATATATAAAATTAAACAAGAAATAAAACTTACAGATCAATACCGATGTTTATATTAAAAAAATACTTTGTAAAAAATCTCATTACAATGGAAAAATTCGTAACTTGATAAAACACTTTTTTTTGTTCTCACACAATTTCAAGCACTTGAAAACGTTGTTAAAATTTAATAATCACAGAAAGTATCAAAATTGGATATGCTAATTTTGATTTGGCAATCAATTTGTGCTAAAAATTTGTAAATAATGTTAAAGTACAAACAAATAATTTTTGTACCGTGTTTGAGTAATTAAAAATTTTAAAAAGCGTTAGAAGCACAAGTTGAATGATTTGTTAAATACAAAATAAACGATGCTTAAAACAACTATACAGGGAATTTCATCAGGGTGGACGGTTAGAATTTCCGAGAGTCAAGGATGTGACGTCACGCACAATCATTTCCGCTATTTTCCACGCAGATTCTTCTTTTACCTGAAAACGATTGAATAATATCAGAATTGTTCATAATGTATACCATTGATGCGTGGAAATGACGAAATTAACCTCATCTTGCTCTATATGAACAAGTTTCTTCACAGCTCTAGATAAACGAGATTCTTTTTCATTTTTACGCCACGGATCAGGATCAATTTCAGTAAAAAATCGGCCTAAATTATCAACATAACCGACACTTAAACTGCAAAAATAGTTAAATTTTAATTTGACAATTTACAACGTGTAAATTATGTTTATAAAATTTTTTTTTAATTACCTAGATTTATTTCGTTTCCACAAAGAATCAGGATCATAAAGTTGTTTTGTATCAATGCTCATACCACCAGAGACAGATGAAGGATACTTTAATTTCTTTTTCTCTGCATTGCTACTATGTGGTGCGCAAACTATAGCACCACTTACCGAACTTATTTCACTACTGCAATCAGATTCTAAAATTTTGATGAATACATATGCATTTATTAACAAACACTGATGTAAATTGTAAAAATTGAGATCAGATTTGATATTTTTAAAAGTATACCTGCTCTTCCTATTGAAGGATGAAAATTTGGGTATTGGCTACTTTGAACACTGTTAATCAACTCGGACAAATACTTATAATATAACTGTGATTGTAAAAAAGTAGGAAGATAGTGCTAAAAATATTTATATACATGAGAATTTGCCAATTAAATTACAGCTACGTGATTAAAATGCATTCATTACCTTATTTAGATAGTTATAAACAATGTGACATGGTCTATTAAAACAGTCTGGTTGAGGACCTTTGCCATCCTCTCTACAAATATTCTGTTCGACTTGGAATCGAATTTTGTCTGAGAAACCTAATGGCATAGTCGCCTGTAAACTAAAATACCTACGAAAATAAAAATAAAAGTTTATGATTGTAAGCGATTTCGAATATTAAAAAAATATTTAGAAAAGAAACTTTTTTTACTTGTCGTAAATTATAAGAGCATCTGTTTGAGCTTCATCAGGGTCAGCTGAGTCTCCTTTCTCTATCAAAGTTTGTTTGTAATTTGCTGCAGCCATCCAAAAATCCAATAGTTCTCTTTTATTTTCTATTTCCATAAACTGTAAGTCAATATATATTATTGATTGGAAAACTATTGGTCAAAATAATTTCATGAGATATACCTCCATAAAATAAAAGAAGGCTGTTTCATTATACAAAACATCTGATAACTGTACATCTCCACTGGTCAAAACATCAATTTGATGCTTACAATGAAAATCACTTCTTAAAAAATCATTGATATACCTGAAAAATTTGTTCAAAATATAGGATACACCACTTGCAAATTTTTAATTTTTTTTTTAAGCATTGCTTACTCGTTTTCTAAAATTGTATATACAATATTCTGAACATCTGATAAAAGATTCACTAGCAGTTCCGTATTCCCATTCTCAATTGCTTTCTCAATATTTTCCTTTAATTTTCCAGAGATCCGATTTGGTCCGAATTCATCTTTAATTAGGTATTTCTTGTAAATTCGTAGTGCATCTTGGTACAACGATGATCCTTTACATATACAATTTTTTTTGTCATCATTATTTACTATTGGACTAATCTTTGGGTAGTTGCAATTGGATTCAACTTTATTTATAAAACTCTGCTGAAGTACAAATTTAATTTAATAACTTCTTTATAATTAATTAAATTGGCAAAACGTGTGTTATCTTACCAAACTTTGATCATTATTATTTACACTACTATCTAATGATAAGACATCAAGTTCAGAATCACTGACACTATTAGAGATTATACTGCAAGCACATTGATCAACGTCATCCGAATCACTTGTAAAACTTTGAAGTTCTCTTGAACCTTTGCAAATATCATTACTATTTTTAAGATAGCCCTGATTATTATAAGCACCACAAAGACATTCCATTTCCAGCCAAAACTTAATCAGTGCCATCTCTTTTTTAGAATCCATGAACTGGATGAAATAGCCAAGGGCACTTTTGTCCGACAGAATTTCTGGTAATGTTTTGGAAAGGCGTGAACAAAATGACTGAACCTGGTTCTTCTCATTTTCAAACAGATCATCTTCCTCTTCCTCCTCGAAGCTGCATATTGAGGCTGGTATTGATACCAGGGAAACACCCACAAATCCATCTCCAATCGACTCCCTTGGACTTTGGGACTTTGCAGGTGAACTGTGTAAAGATTTAGGCCTATCTCTGTGTCCTGAGAATAAAAACAAAACATTTGCATATGATGTCTTCCAACAATAATTATTTAAGGATAACAGTAAAAAATTATTGACAGATTGCATGGCGTCATTTCGGCTCTTGTTAGGTAAATGACGTATCACATATAACCAAATAATTGCCAGATAGAAATGTATTGCTGAGCTCATAGGTACACATTTTTATTTATACAATGTAGAGAGGCAGAAAAGAGAAAAAATAACTATCGAAATCGAGGTTATGTCGGTGTGTGTGAGGCGTTTTGGAGAGCAACAATAATTACTTGAATATACAAGCTGTAAAGCTTGAATATTATAATGCACCCGAATTAATATTGCATTATTGCAAATTTATTTACCAGTAGCTTTTTTAAAGAACTGGAGCATTGTGGGCAAGCGAAATCATTGTAGTCCTGGACCAAGTTGACGTGGAACAGCTGTGCTATGATTATTGTCCAGCCGAAACTCTTCCTCTTTTTATCTCCACTAGTCCATACTATAATTATAAGTATTCTTGGGATTATTGGCTTTATTTTAAATATAAAACTTTTTGCATCAGTGAAAGATTTAACTGTGAAAGCACGTAAAAGTATACTTAGTAATAAATAATAAAATTTTAATCAAATTAAGTTAAAGTTTGGTGTAACATACCCAACTAATAAAAGTAAACAATCAATATAAGACTTTTAATTATGTCACATTGTTTGTATGCACATATATAGGTGTATATGCAATGTTGACATACCTCCTCGTGATGATGACGACGTACGCCGTTTTTGGCTGAACCCTCATCACGGTCGTAATGTACCCTGATGATTACCCACTTGTTCACACTATCTAGATACACTTCTAATATTTTGTTTTCTTTCAACTTACGGGCGTTGTTGATAATAAGTATGCATACTTGTCAAAATGAGAGAAGAGATCGGATAAAATGATGAGTTCTACTTATATAGGCTGTATTCCGCAAATGCTGCCAGCAGTTCAGTTACGTATTATAGGTCGTGGTAACGCCGCATGGTCGGGCAGCGCTGGCGTCCACCTGTACTAACTGTGATAAATCCGCATGCATGTCAACAAACTTCGATATTTTTTGCTGTTTTCATTCCCATGTCCCATATGCCACCCGATATTTCGATGTTTATTGACATGCGGGATGGTGTTTTCCGCAATCGTTACCAGCAAGTAATTTAAGGCTGCGCTCTACGTTACCGTCAAGTCGGTAAGTCAACTACCTTGAATTAACTGGCGCTCTGTTCCGTAATCTGGCCAGTAAAAACAGCAGACGACAGTCAACAGCGATGAAATCTTCACGCACTCTTTTTTCTCGACTTTCACGTCGTCTGCTGTTTTAACTGGCCAGATCATGGAATAGAGCGCCAGTTTAATTCAAGGTAGTTGACTTACCGACTTGACGGTAACGTAGAGCGCAACCCACTATTACTTGCTGGTCACGATTGCGGAAAACACCCTTTTCTCATTCTGGTAAAGAGAGCACGGTGTAAGATATACGTAAAGTTATGTGTAGTAATTATAGTAATCACTACTAAGCAGTGCCATTTGGTCGATTTTATTAATATATATAAGTAGAATAAATGTACTTTTGGAGGTCGATTTTCGGGTGAAAAAAAATTTTTGACTTGCCGCAAATAGCGCAAAATATTTTAAATTTTTATTGTCTATCTATAAAATCAGTTGCGGCTGGTTTATAGTTAATAAAGTGGCTCTACTGTACGTAGTAATAGTTATTTGGATCAGCGCCATCTAGCGGTCTTTATTTTTTGGCCAAAAGTGGCTCCTAAAATTCTCAATCAGAGCAATCACGATTAGAGCCATTTAATCAATAATAAACCAGCCGTTACTCATGATGAAGCTATAAAATGAAAAAATAACGATACATGTGTTTTTGGCGGCAAATTAACAATCTATTTTCTACAAAAAATTGACCTCATATGTATTTATACATTTAGAGATAAATTTTTGAGCATAAGATAAATTAATAACTTGCCGCCAAAAACACATGTATCGTTATTTTTTTATTTTACAGCTATAACATAAGTTGCGGCTGGTTTATAATTAACTAAATGGCTCTAATCATGATTGCTCTGATTGAGAATTTTAGGGGCCACTTTTGGCCAAAAAATAAAGACCGCTAGATGGCACTGATCCAAATTATTATTGCTATTTACAGTAAAGTCACTTTAATAATTATAAACCAGCCGCAAATAATCTTATAAGTAGACGATGAATAGTTGACATTTACTATGCTACTTGCGGCAAGTTTTCAATCTATCTTTTATCCTAAAATCGACCTCTACAAGTAAATAAATATTCTACTTTTCTCATATGGCATATAAAATCGACCATATTTACAAAATTACAATACTTTAGACCTTTTATCATTAACTCACGGAAGCACAGCCCTTTAACTTTATAGTTTAAATAAACAGTTAACTTATATAATATGCACACACCAAGATTTGTGTTACAGAAATCTTGAACAATGATTAAATAGATACGTAAAGTAATCAGTCGAAAAGAGACAACTGAAGAAAAAAGGCTTAAAAAAAAAGTTCAGCCACACAGGACGAGTCTCCTCAAAATGGAGCATTGGATCTCACTTAATCAGAGAAGGTTGGGTTTTTTGTTTATTTGTAATACTTCAAATTTACTTCTCTGTAATAAATGTATTTTTTATTTAGTGAGATCCATTTGCTTTTTTTTTCGGTACGTTCACTCTTAAATGTTATACATACCTTACAGTAGGTAATGAAAGGTACTACAAACTTACAGTTATTTTGGTTACAAATTAAACAAGTTTTAGGCCCCTCTCAGATAAATTGTTTGAGAGAATCGTTATTGTGGATTTAAAAAATTGTCGATAAGAAAGATGTAAAAAGGGGTGTACAGATTGTACTTGATATGTAAATTGTACGTAAATTGGAGTATACGTAAAAGTGGCCCAAGTTATCGTGGACAGTACGTCATTATCAGTATATATTTTTTATAACTAATTTATGATTAACTATTATTGCATGCTTATTTTTATTATCAAGCCTTCGCACACTATACTCTATCGTTTTAATTTTTAAAAATTAATACAAAATTTGTATTTGAAACGAAAAAATAAACATTACTTTTTTTCCTAGTACATATACATTATAAACAGAGTTTAAAACCCGGATCGAAATGATTGAAAATTCAAACTTATTATTATCATCAATGCATCAGCCACCGTTAAAATTATCGTATACATGTATAACGTTAAATGTTGGCGTGCACATGATGATAACATATTAATTATCCATAAAGTTGAGAATAACCAGGTTTATTGATGGGTTTAGTGAATATGTCCATGTCGTATTCTTGAAAAACTTTCGAGAAGGACTTAGAAAGACATATCATCGCAGTGCATCTAAAAAAGAAGATGAACCTAAGTATAAGTACATGTATACGTGGACAACTGGGCGTTGAAACTGGTTTCGAGTTTTATATGGGTGGAAAAGTATCTTTCGTCCGTAAAAATGGAAGTCAGTGAACTTGGGGGCCCCATCATTTCGGAAAAGATTCGAATGCTGATACGAAAGAGCACTGCATTCGAAACACGCATTTTATATAACGTACTGCTCACATAGTTGCAAACTAATTCAATTGTTTCTCTTTTTTTTTCTCGAGCTCAGCATTTATTTAAAACCCTGAACTTTTATTATTTTTTACACACTGCCCAAAATCTGTAACATAATTTACAAGCTGCATTTGCCGGGGGCGTGGATTAATCTTATTAGTTTCGGGATTGTTTATCCGGATCGAGCAACGATCGGTAAGTTATTGTGGTAAAAACCACACTCAAATTCAATATATTCCTTTGTTTTTCATCGATAAAATCACAGACAATAAGCCTATATTATATCTTAAAAAAAAAAAAAAAAAAAAAAAAAAAAAAAAAAAAAAAANAAAAAAAAAAAAAAAAAAAAAAAAAAAAAAAAAAAAAAAAAACAAGAGCCACATCAGACAATAAAAGACCCAAAACATTGAGTTTCCAAAAAATATAAGCCTCTGCTCTTCTTCGAAAACATTGGAAGGTGATCCTTTGCCTCATAATAATAGTACCACCGCGTACTTGGCAATCATAGCCCGAGACGAGAGTGCTCGCTATATGGCTCTCATACGTGTCATTATCATCATATAACGCATAGATCGCGCGATCACATATATCGTCTATCTATACCCTATCATCATCTAACGACCGCTGGAGACAAGACCTATCATCCCCCGAGCGACAAAATAGCCCCTCTTTCCCCCCGAGCTCGCGCCGTCCTTGAGACCTTGAGGCCCAGGATGATCCGATTGTATATATACATTATATGCGTAGATGCTTCTGCGATGATGCCTTGGAGGAGGAGAAAAAGGTCTTTGGCCTTTCGGCCGTTTGCCTGCGAGCGCTTCACGAATACCGGTTTTCCTCTCCTGTATATTCACTCGGCTCCTGCCTCTGTATCCCACACATACCTACAACCAACCCATCCCTTTGTACATACGTATACGTGTTTAGTTAAAAATAAGCTGCACACAAGCCAAGAAAAGAGAGTATAGCCATTTTGTGTACATACATAAATGTACTTGTATGTATATATGTACCTACCTACCTGCCTGTCGTTGTTGTTTCGTCGTGTATGCGTGAATGCTCGAGTCCTTCGGCCGGTCGTTCATTTTTAAAGCGGCTTCCGTAGCCGACAGGTGCAGCGACACGCCGGACCATTTGGTGACTTTTAAAACAATCGGCACAATTAACCGACTGTAATTGTACTCGTACAAAATTGAGCCATGGGACTGGGCGTCACGGGTCTCTGGCTGTTGGCTGGACTGTTGGCCGGTGCCGCGGTTGCGAGACATACCGATCCCAAGGGCGCTACCTACGATCAGAGGCAGGAGGGCAAAGTCAACGTTCAAATCGACGTCAAGGACGTCCACATCCTGGCCCTCGTTGACTCCGACATGCTCGAGGATTACACGGTGAGTTTTTTTTTTTTTTTCTTTCTTTTATGATGACAGGGGATTATATGGTTGACGATGAACGTTGCGATATCTTTTTATGGTTGCAGAACTACGACTACGCGTACGATTACGCGGACTTTACGATAAAGCCGAGGCCGACGCCGAGCAGGCCAACCACCGCGAGTGCGAGCACCACGGAATCGGAGGATGAGTCCCTCCAGATGACGACGGTCGCTTCCACCCAGGTGACCGATCGTAATTTAACGAGTCTCGGCGAGATCGGCAACGGTACGACCACGGAATCGGCGACGAGTACCGCTGCTCCTTTGGAGATCGGTACGGTGGCGCTGACGAATAAACACCGGGCCGAGGATGCGGCAACGAGCGATCGTGTCGAGGGTAACAAGAAACCGATTTCCGTGTCCCAGCCAAGGCATCGGTGTCCCTATGGCTTTGTCCTCAAGTCCGGGAAGTGCTTCAAGCGACGGATGGCTCTGTAGGTTATTATTATTCACTGCTATTCTTTATTCCTTTTTTTCTTATTATTATCATGGTTGTATTTTCTATTAGTTTCTTCACTGGTGTATCTTGCAAAAGAAAAAAAAAAAAAAAAAAAAAGAAATCGGTATCGGTACGGTTTTTTCTAGGGTACGATCGATCGATCGATATCAATAGTAACGGGATAGTGTTGATCGTACCTTTTACTTGTAAAATTAGAGTACACACCAAAACTCCCGCTTATGTTTCAGGCCGCGACTAGCCCTGATGAAATTGGCGCCAGCGCTGTTGAAAAAAACGCAGATCGGATCCGCATCCTAAGCAAGGAAGCGTTTGTCGATCATCGTTCGAGGAAAGCAACGAAACGGCATCACCGATGTGAAGATACGATTCTACAAAAATATACACAGTTTGATATTCTTTTCAGCTACTCGTTTGCGCGTACGTGTGTGTGGGCATTAAATAATCACATAACATACAATATAGTTCCTATGCGTGTTGTACATTATAGCATTCCTCACAATTGCACATTGTTATATATACATATCTTTTTATGTCATGTAAAATAAAATTAAAGGACAAAATTTACAATACTAAGAGAGGCATATTTCATTCACGACACATGTACAGTCCCATGCGATGGTTTATCATAGTATTCTTACCAAGATCATACCAACATCATCCGGTGTACGTACCAATGTAAATTAACCACATCAAAAGCGTTAAATGTTATTACCATGCTATATGCGTACAGGGTAGAAGACTGACGAGAAGATGAAAAAAAGCCTCTCTTCCTCTCTCTCTCTCTCCTGCATGGTAAAAAAACAGAGGGAGAGAAGCTGCGTGTGTGAACGTCCATACCTATGTATATGAGTCGGGAGTAGGTACAACCTGCAAGCCCTCCTCTTCCGTGATGTGTTACCGCATCGAAAACCCGAGGGGGTCCCTCAGTCGTGGCCGAACCAGTGCACGCGACGCACGAAACTCGAAACGCAGAGAGTTACGATGCTGATACCGATTTTCCTGTGTGTGGCAGTTGCGATGAGCCAAGCCGCCCCAACGACCTACGACCAACGCCAAGAGGGAGACGTCAACGTCAAGGTCGACCTGGACAATTTCGTGATCCTCATAGCCCGGCAGGTTCCCACGCTCGACGTCTTCGGGACGATGAGCCAGCTGCTGCTCGCCGATTCCAAGCACTCGCAGGTCGACTCCGAGAGCAAAACCGTCCCTGAGGACGAGGTGGCGACCAAACCCGTGGAGGAGGGTAACACCGAGCAGGAAACTAGGACGATCGGCCCCGTTGCCGGGGAGGGGGAGAAATTGCTTGCTCGAGGGATCGAGGAGGCCGCGAGGAAGGTAAAGACGCCGGGGAAGTACAAGCTCGTCGAGGCCGTCGAGGAGCCTCAGAGCCTCAAACTCGTCGGCGACGCCGTGGAGAATTGCGGGCCCGGTAGGAGCCGCGATCGGTCGGGCCTCTGCGAGGAGGACATCGGCAATTAGTTGGGACTCTTCATTCTTCCTTTCTCTCTCTCGTACTTTAATTTTACCGCTCAACTGTGGTGTTGAATATACACTCTTCGCTTTATTGATGCCATTCCGATTTTACGAATATCCCTTAGATCGGTAAGAATGATATTGTTTTACATACAATATTCAATGCTCCATACGACTCTTTCTTTTTTTTTTTTTTGGTCTGAAGTGCGTGGTGATATTTGTTATTTAAGAACGCACATAAGTATATGTGAAAAATCTTTTCATGCAATAATAATATTAGTTTTAGTAATTTATTCGTTTATGATGCGATGCCTTACTGTTGTGCAAATATCTTATGATTCAATCGAAACGGTAAAAAAAAAAATAAATAAACAAAATTTTCAAACAGAGGATCATACTGTACTGCGAATGAATCGATGTACTGATCATTTTTGTTGCTCGCCGATACATGTGTAATGACGCAGAGTAATATGAACGCGCACAAAGAGATACAGATGAGAAGAATCTTGTTGTAAGATTGCACGACTATATATGTATATATTTACAATTATATCAATGTATAGAGTTGTTCATACGTGAGGCTCTGTTTATTTTGCAAGTAAGTGCCTATACTTTGAAACGATTTTATTTCATGTAGTATATTATTGTGTACGCAAAACCAATTATTGCTCTCTTTATAAATAAAAAAAGTGTTTTCTAATGAAACAAGGTGTACGTAAACATTTATTTTTCTTACTACTAAACCTCTACAGAATTATACGCTATTATGTATAGTATAAAATTATTCTTCCGAATGAAAAATTTGAAATTTAGATTCGATTATCACGATGACATTTCGCAACGACATGTATAATACCGTTTGAATATAATAAGTCGTCAACGTATACACATACATGTAATTACTTTTGAATGAAAACACAAAGCAAAGCCATTAGCCTATGAATGAAACGAAAAAAACCTACATACATATGAACGTATACCGTTACGGCATTAATTCCATCTCGATCGAGACAGCCCAAAGGACCGTTTTGCCATTTTACAATTATCTCCTCTTTTTTTTCCCCTCGTATGATGAAAAGATCCAGCCGGGCTTCCCTCCATTGTTACACGGATGATTAATGAATGTTTTCGGTGCGTGAAACTTGACCGCCCGAGGATAAGGTCAAGGCAACTGCAATACCGAGATGATTATCGGTATTAAATCGAGAGCTCGCACAACGTCAGACGTGTTTTACGCTCTTGTACGCGTATCATGATGATTGATAGATAGACCAGTGTGTCGTGAGAGCGTGCCTTTGTGAATTTATATCTATTTTTTTTTTTTTTTTTTTTTTTTTTACAGTATGAAATCGTTATCGCTATTTATACGGATAAATACACGGAATACGGAGAAACGCTTTGGGTAAGATCGGCAAGGCATCGCAAGCGAAACGACATCAATAGAGAGCGGAAAATAGTACCCAGGACCTAAGGTAACTAAATGAATGACAGGTTGCATCTAGTTGGGAGAGGGGGAGGGGTAGAAAAGACGAGAGAATCAAGTGGGAAGAAACTAATCGGCAACTAGCGATCGGTTGAAATCGATTCGAAAAGTTCAATCAGCTCGTTATGTACGGATCTTAATGAGGAAAAAAAAAACATACAATTGAAATCGATTGATTCATTTTAACCGATCTCATCGGCTTTAATCCCCCCTATGTCTTTATATGCAAGGTATCTTTCACACCGCACACAAGACGAGAGTATAATGAGTGTGTGTATATGATGATAATGAAAAAAGGTAACGATGTCGTAGCAGTAGAGGAATGACACTAAACGTTGAACAGTGTTTTCAGAGGAAAGAGCACAAAGAAGAGCCGGGGCCAACGTCCTGCAACGGCCCCTTACCGATCCTTGCAACACACATCACGCATTTTCTGCAAACTCCTCCACGAGTAGGTACACATACGCACATGTATACGTTCTTCGTCGCCTCTTCCAATATACTTTACTTCACCCTATACACATACACGCTATGAATAAAAAATCCTCCTCGCCCCAGGATATACATACTTATACACGGATACACGCGCAGAGCTGAGTGCACTCACCCCCTTCGTACACACATGCGTGTCCTGAGAACGAGTCCTGCTGAAGCTCGAGGTTCAACGTACCATGTACCCGCGCAGCAGCTCTTTTTTTTATTTTTTGGCCATTTCGACGATCCACGTTGGAGAGGAGAGAAGACAGGATCAGGTTGCAGGTATAGGTATATATAGGATATTGGTTTTGTGGGAGATACACGACGGGATCTAACTTTATAAAACGACAGCGAGGAGAAACAAAATTAATGGCTCGAACAAGATGATATACATTATAATCGAGCTTCGAGCTTTCGACATGCCAGCCAGTGCCAATCTCGATCTGCTTTCATCATTTTGGGCCACTCCAAAGGTTTTATACTCTGGAGAGAGGGACCAAAGGCCTCGCGAAAATATAAATGTAAAAACACACCCGCATGCACGAAAATATAATATACTTATACGTACCCACTCGAACTCGTATGGATATGGTTTTTTTTTCCCATAACATCAAAACGCAGGAGATGCTGTATATACGTGTACAGGATGGGGGGTACCTCTAGAGGTTTACGCTCGGAAAGTGGCAGCAGTAGGGGAGATGGGAGGATCGAGGAAGGGTTCTTGTACCTATATACGCGGGGTTCTCTCTCTCGCGACGCACAACAGCCGCGAGCCTCGAGTCGGCAGGACACACACCTATAGGCTCGTAAAGGACTTGCACATGTATAAATATACGCGGAGTTGATCGTTGATTTATTCATTTACTTTTGTGTATCACCAATAATACTGACACATTTTTTTCGTAGAAGATCGAGATAAAATAATGGAGTTGGGCATTAAGATGACTCTGTTCTTGTTGCTGGTGGCTGTTGTTGGCGTCAAGGCCAATCCTATGATGAATTACGCGCACGATGCTTCAACTCCCGAACCAAAGAAGGATCCTTCGATCGACCACTACGACCAGCGCCAAAATGGCACCGAGAATTACAGGGTGAAGGGTAATTGTTGTTTATCTTACTCCGCAATGGGTACTTTGTTTTGTGATGTGTGAAGTGATTGGTGGGGGGGTGGAAAAAAAAATTTATCTTTTTCCAGTCGACGGATTGGTGTTTATCTTGGCACCGGCGGACACGCTTATGATGGGAGGGGCGACGATAGAGCCAAACTTGACTTCCTTGTTTTCCGATCTCAACAAGCCCAAACCAAAACCAGAGAAGGAAAATCTGTTCCTCAAGCCTTTGAAAGCTGACAAGGATGACGTACCGAAATCTGCCCACGTTGACACCTCTGCTGCTGCTGTACATCACAATAATCGCAAGTGAGTTTTCTTTGACTGGAAAATGACTATAGGTGACACTGAATTTTTTTTTCTCCCTTACAGACCAGGGCTTCGCATATCAAGCTTTATCGCGCCGTTCATCAACCGGATTCGCCATGCTCAGTAGATGACAAGTTAAATTAAAAGATCACATGGTATTGCGTAAATATATGTTCAAGAAAAGGTAAATCATTCATGTAATAGTAATAAGTTAAATTTTAAGTGATATCGATCGGTATTATATCTTTGTAGATGATTATTGTATAAGTGGTGCGCGTTTGTAAAACAAAGAATATATAAATAAATGTACTTTTTGTATGGAAAAAAATTTTTTTTTTTTTTTTTTTTTTTTACTCTCAAAAACTATAGTAATTACACATTTAAATCGATCGTTCCTTCTCTATTAGCACATTTCTCGCAATCTTTTTGTTCTCTCTATTTTATTTTATTTTTTTCTGTTTTTGGTGTGGTATCTCGTCGTTACAACTGGTACAAAAATGATACTATATATGAGATTACACATTTGACTGTACAATCAAAGCTCGTTGGACTGTTAAGAAATAGTTTGACTGCTGAGTTTTTTTTTTTTTTTTCATTTAAACACTACAGATGAAAAATCAGTTCTCTGTACAGCGAAGCAAGAAAGCAAAAACAAACAAAACTTTCAAATTAATATCATAAAAAACTTATGTTTATAGTTTATGCTTCTGTAGCGAGGCAAGTTAATGCAAAAGGCCGGAAATTAGCGTGGAAGCTCTTTACCCAATGTAAAAGATTAAAGTAATTTTCTTTTTTTTTCTCTCTTTGTATACATCCTTGGTGACCCATCAAAAGTATACTTATCGACTCAGTTCATCGTGTTTCATTTTTTTTTTTTTTTTTTTGTCTGTAGCTCACGTACTAAAACTCACTATTCACTATGTACAACTACCTCAACAAATCACTGATATTTTTTTTTCTCTAACAACCACGTCAAATCACAATACGACACATTTTTTGTCAATTCATTAGCATTTTGTTCGTTCGTTCGTTCGTTCGTAACCCTATCTATACGAAGAAACAACTTTAAAGTTATTTGATACGTATTTTTTGTTATGTACAATAGAGGAAATTAAGAATTTTCTCAGCAAGATCGCACTACATACCTTCAAGATACCATTTAATCTAATTAATTTAATCAATTGAAGATCAGGGTTGATAACCTGTATCTTAGGAAGAGAAAAATTGACTCATAGAATTGATAAAAATAGAATCCTCTACTTTAAAGCTTTAAAAGCACACGCTTGACGACAAGAGAACAGTCGCATTGGCATTTTGATCACCATCTTTTGATTCCTCAACCACACGTTTGTCCTTCTCCGCACCATCAACAATCAATTCCTTCACATCGTTCATCTGCACAGTAAGTACAAGGTATAACGTAGTTGAAAATGCATTATTTTATATCCTTATAATAATACTATGTTCACCTCTTTTATCACATATTTGCAATTCTCGATTATGCTGTTTCGATCATCCAAACCGTTGCTTAAAACTCCTCTTTCAAATTCTTTTGAGTTTTCTGCAGTCTTTTTCTCAGCTAGAAGCATCTCTAGCCTCGTTTCCAAATCGATTCTGAAATAAATCATTCATCAATAAAGATAATTTAACTTGTTTTTCATACATAAAAACTACATACTTATCGTCTTTTAATTCTTGAATGCAAGTGTCGTTGTCCAATTGAATGATACGTAAAACTTTCAACAATTTAGTGACAAGATTGTCAACATCAATGACTTGATCTACAAGACTAGTGGCTGGACAGTATTCAGTCATGGGTAGCGTAGCTTCGGACGGACCGTTTTCTGATTCGCTTATCGATTCGCAATTTTCTTCTTCTTCGTCTTCGACCTGAAATCAATCCGTTTTATTGCCATTTGTTAAGAAACAATGCAATCAAATGCAAACACAATGAAACACGTACTCTGCGTCTATGCAGTATGGCTTGCGTTAGGTTTGTTAGGCTGCTACTAGACTCTCCGTTAATATTAACACTTTCTTCGACAGTTTCAGGAACATTTAAGACTCGCCTGAGCGAATCAGAGCTGGATACCATATTGTGTGAATAGGTGTCTGGTAAAGGAACATCTTCTAAAACACTTTCCATCATTAGGCAAGGTTCTGTTTCAAAGTCGAGAATATCGGACGAAGATTCTATGCTCAAGTCTAAAAACAAACGGGATATTAGTTCTACTGTATTTTTCGATTTAACGCAATAAAATGTAACGACGAACCTTTTCGTACAACTTTAGACGACTCGGAGGATTTCTTTTCACTCGTGTGTTTGGTCGCAAAAGGATGCGTTGCAGCATTCCTGATAGCTCCAATAACAGCCGAAACAAAAGAACCTCTCTTAGGACTCGGTGTGCAGTCTTTGATACTGTGCTTGGAACTTACAGGGCTCGACTCGATGCTACTGTTGCTTCTACTAAAGGCTTCATTATGATAAATGACGTCCTGTAAAACAAATCATCGGTTGGAAAAAAAAAAAACATCATTTCTCTTTTACTGATCGATGCAGATCAACTCTAAATACCTCAAGATCTTTCTCGGAAATATTGTAGGACACAATTAACTGATCCACGAGTGCCTCGAGCCGACTTCCGAGCCCCGAAAGAGCGACCGAGGCACCAGACGCAGCCGCTCCTTGCGCGAGCAAAAGCTCCTTGCTCCTTCTTTCGACGGCATTAAGTTTCATGCTCAGCGACAAGTTTTCCTGTCGCCTCTGCTCGCTGATTCTAACGAGATGCTTGCACTCCTCGGTTTGTCTTTCCAATTCTGACGACAGTTTTTGCATTTTTTCATCCTTCCTCTTCAACTCTGCTTCCGACTCTTTCAAGGCTGTTTCCAGAGTAGCTTTCTCCTCTTGCAAAAAGTCTTGCATCTCCAAGGACTCGGCTTCCAATTCCTGCTGCTGAAGGATCAGCTGCTTCTGTGCAGCTATGTTCTTTTCCAAATCCTACATTTGCACAAAACACAAATAATTAATGGTCCTCAAGTGAAATTTGATCAAGTGAATTTGCATCTTACCCTGCTCAACATCCTGCAGAGCGATTGCAGATCAGCAATCTCGACTTGTTGACTAGCAAGAACTTGTCCTGAAGATTGAAAATGAGACTCCAGCTCCAAGAAACTATCGTTCCCATCTGCAAAAGCAATCATCCGCGTTTAAAACACCTCAAATTAAATCCTAACTTATCAGGAAGGATAAAACAAAAACAAGTAAAACTCCACGCAACCTGCATGCTCCGACTGCGGCGTTCCCAGCATGGCCAGAACCCTCTGGGCGTTCTTATCCAACTCCTGCCTGGCGAAAGCGTGGTCCGCCTGCTCCTCCTCCAGCTTTTTTCGCAACTCCGCGACCTCAGCCTTGAGCTTCTCGTTGTCCTTCTTCCTCACCTCGCTCTCCTCGCTCGTCTTCTTCAAATCAGCCTTCAGCCGCTGCAAATCCTCCCAGGTACCCTCCGTCTGGCTGGGTCTCTCGGACGTCTCGACGCTCTCGGGATTCGGAATGATCGTCGCCACTCCGGCCAGGCAGTTGTCGATGTCCTTACCCGTCAGCCCCGTCTGTACGCTCGTCTCGTGGTAGATCCGCGTCCTCTCCGCCATCTTCTGCTTAGGATACGGTGGCAAGCCTTTGTACTGCGGCCCGTTGATACCATTGCTCGAGCCATTGATGGCTTTGCGCCCCAGCAGCCTGTTGAGACTGGCGTCTCGGCTTCCTGACCTGCTACGACTCGCCACCGGAGGTTTCTCAGCCGCTGACTTTGGCACCGCGAATCTGGTGCTCCTCGCGCCCGCCCGCGGCAACGTACCGTAAGCGTCCAGGGTCTTGGTGTCCATGCTAACGGCCATCTTGTCCAGGAAGCGAGCATTTCTCGTCGCGTCCGGCCGACCTCCGTACAAACTTGTGCTGCGACCCAGGGATTTGCGTCCGTCCTCGGATGGTGTGGAGTTCGGGGTGCCCGTCTTCCGGGTGCTCGCGCGCGTGCTCGAGCCTCCTCTGGGAGCCCGGGCGCCTGTCCAAAACAGTCGTTTTAGTTTACTTTTGAAATTACCGTTGTCCATTTTTAAACGAAAGTTCTTCAGTACGACCCGAGAGCCACTCTGTATCTATACCTATAGTATATTCTCTCGCTATTGTCTCCACACGGACGTTAGACGATACTGAATCACTTTCAGCCAGAGTGTGCCGGTCATTAGCACTATCTTATCGCACAAAAACACGCGGTCGTATATAATTATCGTGCTCCACGAGATTGTATACTATTTACGAATAAGCGTTTCCGAAAACTCTCGTTACAGTACCTGATAATACGTATATGATAGGATAATTGTGTTTTGGAAGAAAAACATCGAAACGTACTCGTGCCCCTGCCGCGTTGCGCCGCCAGGTCCTTGTTGATCTCGGTGGTGAGGGCCGACGGTAGCGAGTCCGGTCTCGTCCGGGACCTCGAAGCCGCGGTGCTCGCGGTGACGCTGCTGCTCCTCGTGGTCGACGAGTTTCGGGCGACAGCGGCCAACGAGCCGTCCCTCGTGCCCTTGGCCGACGACTTTTCCCTCGACCGGCCCCTATCCCTGCTGCTGCTGCTGCTACTCGTGACGCTCTGCGACTTGGTGAGCACGCGCGGCTTTGCCCTCGCGCCCGTCGACGTCGTGCCGTTGACGATCGCACTGGCGCCGTTGCGCTGACTGCTGCTGGTCCTCTGATGCGAGTCGGCCGTGCTGCTGCGGGAGGACGGTCGATCGATAATTTTATTAGGCATTTTCGGTGCAGGAACGGGGAAAGGATTTTACGGTCTCAAGTGTCGTTTCGCCGCTGCCACGCTGATGAATTTTTCACTCCAAGCGAGCGAATAAGGGAGAGAGAGAGAGAGAGAGAGAGGTGGGTCAAGGGTGCCCGATAAAAATCAACGGTTCAGCAGAAATTGCGCGCTGAGAGTGAATAAAACAAAAAAAAAAAAAAAAAAAAAAAAAAAAAAAAAAAAAAAAAAAAAAAAAAAAAATAGATGATGGAGCCATTAGGCAAGTAAAGAACGGCCTCCAAGAGGAAAAAAAAAAAAAAAGAAAAAAAGAGGACACAAGCGAGTAAGGGTACATAACGTACTGGGCAACGGGTTTCTTCTTGTTCTGGGCCCCGGGAACGGTGGCGGGCCTCTTTTGCGGGCAACGAGCTGCTGAGACGCTACCCGCGATGGAGGAGCTCTCGCTGCCGGCCTCGCTCGTACCCTCGGGCCGGACCCCAACACTGGCCGGGCCGTTGGTGGTGGCGCCGTTGGTCGTAGCCGGGCCGCTGCTACCACCGCTGAGGCGCATGTCGTCAGGCAAAGTGGCGCAGGGGTCCTCGTAGACGGAACAGCAGCTGACGAGGCTCGAGTCGCACGAGGCCTCGTCCAGGCCGTTGCAGCTGCTCGCATAGTCGACGCTGTTGCGGCTCTGGACCTGGTTAGAAATATATCCTTGTGAAATTTTTTTGTTTGTAAATTTCCAGATCTGGATGAGGGGAAAAACTTATACGCACCCTGGGTGGCTCGGCGGCGCAACCCTCGACACCGCTGTCGCTGCCATCCTTGCCCTCGCCCGGGTAATCCTTCTTGTCGTTGTCGGCGACGGGCGTGCCGGTCGTCTCGTCCTCCACGGGGATGTTGGCCCCGGATCCCGCGGACGCCACGTTAACCACGTGGATGACCGTGACGTTGCACTCGCTGTCGTTCATCGCGTCGCTCCCGTCGAGGGAGGCACCCTTCGGCTCGACTAGGCGCTCCTCCTCCTCTTCCTCCTCCTCTGCCGGCATGCCCGAGTCTTGGCGCGACACCGTTGCAGCGCTCTCGTGCACCGACAACTGCCAGAGAGTAAGTATACATTTCATCATACATGCTCGCGTAGGAACAGGATATTTGGGCCATTTTTTTTTTTTTTTTAACGCGACACTCGAAGTGAAAGCAATCACGCGGTCGTGTATAAGCAAAAGACGATAGAAAAAAAAAGACACTCAAGATTCGGCGCAACGTGAAATGTGAAAGGTTTATACATAATATATTGCGGGAGAGTCGATGTACAAAAAAAAAGGAGAAATACATTGCGAGCCACGGTGTAAGTATCGGAGAAAAAAAAAAAAAATAAAAAAAAAAAATAGGTACCTTGTCAGCCTCCTCGCTCTTGACTATCAGGTCCATGACTGGGCGGCAGCTGGACGTGGTTCAATCCAGACGTTGTTTCACCACAACGAAGGCCGGGGGCATTTTCCGTTCTTCTTTTCGCGACGACGGGGCACGGCTGGCCGGTCCCGCGAATCTGCAACAGCAATCGGAAAAGGGTGTGTTTTTGAGTATACATACATGTAAATTGTGGGTGTATTGCTCGTCGGTCCTTATTGTCGGAGGAAAGCAATTTCGAGAGGTGCTCCGGAAGGAGCAGCAATTTGGGTTCGATCGGACCTATACGAGCAGTTGATTCGTATAAAAGGGGGGAGTGTTAATTCGATTTGTAAGGGGACTTTGGTCGAGATGGAATTTTCAAGGGAGCGAAAAAAAAACAATGCAAACAAGTAACGTTTTTGTATTTGCGCGTAATGGGGAGATAATTTTCGTAAAAACAAACTGAAAAATCCAGTCGTGTAACAAAATTTTCCATTTATTGTTTTTTTTTAATTACTAAAAATAATACTGCAAATTGCTAATATCGTCGTAACAAATCCTACTATATGCTTACTCAAGTAATTATCTGTTGAAAAACGCATTTGTTGACTGATTCATATTATATGAAAGTTGCAAGAAATTTTCAAGTTTTCTTGTATGAAGTAAAGAATTTTGGAAAAAATCATAAAGATAAGGAAAAAAAAGGGGGGAATTCCAGTTGCAAGTGCCGAAATCCACGTACATTTATTGTTACGCACGTACTTAAATACACGATGATATTTACGTGTCGTACAACGATTATGAAGAAGCCCGTATCAAGTAGTTCCGAAGATTACCTATATAATTATCAAAAATGGCATTTCTTCCAAAATGAAAACGTATTACTATTGTTATTGACTGGTTTTTAATCACCTAAAAAAAAAAAAAATAAAAAATAAAAAAATAAAAATTACCAGTAATCCACAATGGATAAGTAGGTGTACGTTTCTCATCCCTTGACAAACCATCCAAAAACGACAACAAAGCACCTGTATGGATTTACTAAATGCATATACACATACATACATACATACATATCTATAGCCAGCCCTTGTAGGCGCGGGAGTTGCGCGTAAAACTAATAAGTAACAACGACACGCGAGAAAAGAAAGCTGCACACGAGGGACTTCCCCTCTTCCCCCACCCCCCAAGTTTAGCGATGAAATCGACACTCAATGCAAGGTCACCTATACCGTGTATATGTATATATTGTATCTTGTATGCGCTACCGATTTCTGCGTCAAACAGACTATCCACTTGTACAATACCTACTCTAAATATTTTGCGCTTTTTGATTTTTAAACTTATTAAAATTGTATCAGCTTTGAACGATTATTTTTATTCTACCGAGTGCAGAAGTCTGTTAAAATAAGTAATTCGTTCGTTGCTCATCAAATCGGATGTAATCCAATAATCTGAGGATGACCAAGAAATTTTTACAGATAAATGAGTGCATGTAAATACAATTTATACATTAAGTATTTCACGCTGCAGCAAACAAATCTCGGATGATCCAATAGCCATACACTTATACGCACAACTGCGCGATACGTAACATTGACCGATGACGATTAGTTCGCATATATTATATGTCTAAAGTATGGAAAAAAAAAAAAAAAAACAACAACAATAAGAACGAAGAAGAAGAAGAAGAGATAAAGCGAGCGCGCACATAATTGTATGGATGTGCGTACGTATATAGATACGCGAGTGTGTACCGAGGGGAAGTACCTGACGAGGCGCTTCGCCGATTGGCCGGGGCCTTCGGCCAGCCGAGATAGCGACCGATTCATATAAGCTCCGCGCACACCAGTCCCGGTTCCACAACGTCGGCCAACCGGTACACTCGTCGCGTGGACCATTTTAAACACGCGCTCGTGGGTCAAATCTCTGTTACCAGTAGATAGAGGTAAAATATACTATACTCGAAAAAAAGCCGTCAAGTCGATTCGTCGCGGGGGAGAAAAAGGAATTGATGGACCGATATTCCGTCCAAGAAGACATTCGAGGAGTGCGCCCAACAATTGTACAGCAACAGCAGGTGAGTGGCGACGAGCAATAAAACTGCACACTCGTGTAGTAGCCTTTCATACATATTTTTTCTTCTTCTTCCTCCTTATGTACACTTCGAGATCCCTCGATAACGCGGCGCGGTAATACGCGGCAATTAAGGAACATAAATAATGGCCAAGATGCGCGAGTGCGTGCGCAGGTACGATTTTTCACTCGATCCTACATTTGTTGTTCTTCCAGTGCTATAAGTAGTTGCACAATCATACACGAAAGAGAAAAAACTTCCGGCGCTCCCGTATGTAATATACGATATTATACTACATTATACACCTATATTACCGCGTCAGAGCGACCGGCCGTATAAAAAACGTATAAAAAACGCCATTGTATCGGTACTCAGCGACCGTAGTTTGGACGAAAGAAGTCACGTATATATGTGAATTCGATAACCCGAGTAATTGTAACGGGCGCACAGGCAAGCTTCTCTCGCTCGCAGTCGGAAAAATTGTTTCCCCCCCTATGGCGGGTGTAAAGCCGAAAGTATGGGGCTGATGACTTTTTGTCCGCAGGGGGAAGAGCAGCCGGGAGCGGAAGATGAAGGACGGGCAGCCTCAGCAGAGCATACCGGAGAGCAAGCACCTAGCGGGGGACGGCGTGCGCCTGAAGATGCCCTTGAACCGGGAGAGCTTGTGGATCGAGGGGGACGGGTGTAGCGTGGAGATCCAAGTGAACCACGGGCTGGTGAGGGTGACGGGGGACGGGTGCCGAGTGCGCATCGAGAGGAACCTCGGCCGCGTGGATTACGTGGGCGACGGTGGACGCGTCTACCTTGGGCTCGGCTGCGACGCGGACACGGTCACGTACCGGGGGGACGGGGGTATTGTCGAGGCGGGCAATAAGGGCCGGGTGGCTGCAGGCGCCAGGAGGTCGCGCGTCGTGAGAAACGGCAGGCTCGTGGTGACCGAGGTCAAGGCTAATGAGACCACCGGGGACGAGTGCTTGAGGATACAGACGGGAGTCAAGCCCGGGGCTAGGATCAGCATCAACCTCAACGGGGTGAACGGCAAGTGCGTTAACATCCACGGGACGACCTGCTGATGATTGGGTCGAGAGGATTTTCTTTCTTTCTTTCTTTCTTTCTTTCTTTCTTTCTTTCTTTCTTTTCTATTCTGCTGTACAGGTCTATCAGATATTATTAACTCTGCTATTGTCACGACGGTATTATACAATTTTACCAAGCCCTACCTTCCACGCCACTAGTGCCTCTACTTATAGGTATATCTTTTACTTCCGTATACGTACCTACCGTGTACTAAGTGTTTTGTGTGTTGTCGAGGTGTGACGTAATTGTGAATAACACACGTAATCTCGGAGAGGACGGGGGGAAGTCCATACCGAGACGACAAACAAGCTAGTGATAATTATCGAAGCTGCGAGGGTGGGGGGGGGGGAAGGAAAAACAGCGGTAGCCAAACAGATACATAGCTACATGGATATCGCGGGACGCAGTTGCAGTGGTATGGATCTGACGTGGTCGTCGATGATCTGGACGATTGATTTTTACGGGTGACCGCAGCTGGGTTTTATTATATATACGGTATAGAGGCGGAAGTTGGAACAAAAAAAAAAAAAAAAAAAAAAANGTACACTCCCTTTTCTCCTCTATCTCCCTCGTGTATATGTTGGTGCCTATCGTTCTCTCTCTTCCTATATCCTCTCTCGTGCCGGCTGCCTCAGGACTGCCGTATACGACCGTATACCTACTTACTTTGCGGTTCTTCCTATGCAAGTTGTTACGTATAGCTATACATAAGCAAAGTAAGTACTGCAGGCAGGCAGGCAGCAGTTCCAGGCTTCCACTCTTGTATCAGCACCTATACCAGCTAATGTACACCCCGGCATGTGCATCTATATATATATATATACATGTACCCGAGTGGTATGTAGTACCTCTACCACGCGGTGCGTGACGGCCCCAGCTGCTTCAAGGCGAGCACGACGACGACAAGCGGCGGCGGAGCACCACTGCACGGCTCGTTGGGCCCGCTACGTGTATATATATATATATATATATATATGTTACGTATACATTAGGAGCGTGTAAATAGTAACAATAAATATACTATTTATTCAAGCCGATTTCCCTTGGAATTTCCTTTTTCTCTCTCCCTTTTAAATCCTGTTTTGTCAAAAGTACACCTATACAGTTGTAAAACAAAAAATTAAGATTTTCTCCGATCTCTTCTACCACAAAAGTTGTCCAATTTGCGAATCGAGCTGCTTCCAAGTGACGCAGCGATAAAATCTTTTCCTCTATGTATATGTATACGGCTCGAGCCTCTTCTTCTTCTTACGTGTGTACGGGTAGCACAGTTTGGGTAATATTTGCGGACGAAAAAGGCATCGTTGTCGAGAGAATCGCGGTCGGGCGAGAATAAAGTGGGAGTCGTGCAGTCCAAAGAGGCCATCCGATCCGACGTTCATATAGCAATAAAGAGGCAACCGACATGCACTGCACTACTGGCGAATGTCTCTCCGTTGCACTATTTCATAGGTATCTATATATACACACATGTACGTGTGAGGGTGAGGTGAATAAAGGGTTGTCGGAGAGAGAGAGAGAGAGAGAGAGAGAGAAAGGAGGCGACCTACTTTTTATCATTTCTCTGATTTATTAAAACTTCGCCGCGGCTTTACTGAAACGAGAGTACGACACGCACGTGATATATTATATCGTGTGTATATGTATAATATCATAAAGCGTTGACGTATGTTTTTGCAGGTATAAGTGTGGCCACGTACCTTTACACTTATTTATAACACCTGACTCTCAGTTAGCGTTTGGCTAATCAAGTGCGGAGAATTATAAGTAGGTATGCACCTTATACGTGTGTGCGTTGATACTCTCCGAGACAGCGATACTTATACTTATGTATATATTGTATTATATCCCCATCAGTACGAAAGTTTTAGCTTCGCGTATATTTATATACAGTACAGCTGTATGCTGCATCATCGCAAAGAGAAAGAGCAGGAGTAGATGGTCTCTACTGGTAATAAAACTCTGCTCCAATGAATGATAGAAATGCAGCTTCTTCTTCGACAAATCATCGTTTTACCTATCACGTGTGGAAATGTACATGATATTATAGCCATGGGAAAATTATTTTTTCGCTGCCTTGGTCGGAGAGAGAAAATTTCATCCTCGCTTTCATCTCGGACCGAGCGAGGGCTTTGTTCGACGGTAGCTTCTTCTTTGCTGTGCACTGTATATACCCTATATACCGTGATCTCCATCATACCTCTTATATAGGTACTTCAGAAAAAAATTGTACTTATCACAGCACAAGAGACTCAAAGAGAGAGAGAGAGAGAGAGAAGCGGATACGTGCCATAGATAAACGAGCATCGTGAACTCTCGGTCGTATATAGGCATCAGTGTCCCCGCAGGATGTAATAATGATGTCGCTTATCTATGCCTCCTCCTCCGCGCGTTCGAAGCAATAATAAGAAGAAAAGTATAAAATTGTGTTGAAAAATCACACGTTTGCGCGTGTACAACGTGTCTGTATGTACAGGTATCGGGGATTCACCGGCAACGTGTCATGTATATATCTGTTGTTGAAAAAAAGTGCGCGTGAGTAGATTTATCAAGCGGAGACTCTCTACTTTTTTTTTTTTTTTTTTTTTTTTTTTTTTAATATCACATATAGAGAGGAAACGCAAGAATTTTTAACGTGTTGTAACATTATCACTACGGGTACACAAAAGTACAAAGTGCAAAGTTATACCCATATAGTATACATGCGAAGAAAAATGTGAGAGAGATCTATACAATATGTAAGTGCATTGCCAGCGACGCGGAACACGCACTCGTGAGTGCTATGTTGCGTGCGCGTAACCCATACATATACATATATGTTTTCATAATTTATACCTCGTAAAACGGATAATCTCGCGAGAGAGGCGTGCACATACATATGTAATGTAAAATAAGTATATAAAATTGCCGTGTGCCCCGATAATCGGAAAAATACAAGCGAGAAAAACAAAAATTTCGCGAACGCGCGAAAGTTAACTCTCGCTTCTTTATTTGGCGGGTTCTGCTCTGTGTGGGTGTGTGTGCAAAAAACAAAAATATTCCTCGGTTCGTGCAATGTAATATTATATACGCGTTGTACAGGTATACGTGATTCGGTACATGGTTTATTTCGTTTAATCATCACGTGACCAAAACGCAACACAAGTAAACCACCTAATACGTACATACTTATCTCTGTAGTATCGAAAAAAAAGTGTTTTCTATTTGGTCGCAATGAACGGTAAAGGCGTTACGGAGAGAAAGTGCATCAAAGAGCGTCCGACAGAGAAAATATATTATACGCGCAAGGAATGCACTATACTGCTGCTTTGCGTGTAATACGTATAATAGGTGGTATATGTGTGTAAAAAAAAAAAATTGGGTTGCATAACCGGTCACGTCGCGATATTGAAGGTGATGATGTACATATACGTATACATGTGCAGCATCAGGGTGGTGACGAGAGGACTTTCCGATACATCGTCGCGTCTCTCTGACGTATACCTTGTGTATATATATCATATTGTGCTGTGTACTGGGTCAAGGTCGTCCGCGGCCTCGTGGTGGTTGTGCGCGGCTGTATAGATATATCGGTAATTATCATGTGCATGCGCATGTGTACATTATATCGCTAATACTCGATCATATACATAATATATGTATTCATATATTGAGAGTAGCTCTTCGCACGCGCGCGCGCTTCCGTTATATAATATATAAGCTCTTGTATAACATACATTATACGCATACGTATAGGCTAATAATGCTGAGTAGTCGGATTTATTTACATATTTTTTGAATGTGAAGATAGTTTTAATATGGAAAAATTATAAAGTAAATGTACATCAGACGTGTCTATTTTTTTTTTTTTTTTTTTTTCATTTGTCGATATGAATTACTTTTTCATGGAAAAAATGTAGATTAAAGGAAAAAAATAAAATAAAATAAAAAATTAAGAAACAAACAAGGTTTTTGCAAGTATAATCAATCCTTTTTCCTGGACGATAAATAATCCAAGACGTTGTGCGTGATCTGTCGCTGCTCCTCCTTTTCGTGTACGCTTATAATAATAATAATAATTATTATTATTGTACCATAATGAGGTAAAAACTTGAAGTGTAGCGGAAACAAACAAAAAATACATCAAGTAATATGTAGTTACACCTTTATTCTTGGATAATTTCACGAGTACAACCAATGGGTACTTCTTATCCTGTAATTGAATGAAATCCGCAATTACACGCACCGGCCGAGTTATAACAGCCCCTAAGTATCTTTTTTTTGCGAATAAATTTTGCAAACCAAAAAAAAAGTGTACTTGGTGTCTACTGGCGAGAAAAAAGGGTCGGCTCTCTCTCTCTCGTCTGGAGTTGGCAAGCTGCAACAGCGGTGGCATATACATTTAATACATATATACACGTACAAGTAGGTATAGAAGTGTCCTCTGAATTGGAGACGCGATTAGTGCCCATTAGGCCGTTTGTTTCAATAAACCCTCAATTATTGGGCACGAGTGCTTCACAGGAGTGCCTCGTTTCGTACATCAATTTAATGAACGCCGCGCGGCCCCAAACGTCGAGGAAGCAGTCTATAATATACGTATATGTGCACAAATTGAATTCAAACGCGATGATTTATTCTAAAAGTATGTACTTTTCAACGCATAAATACGATGATGATGACGAGAGAGAGAGAAAAGGGGGGGTTTCGGCAAACATGAAACGGACCGTTCCGGCAAAAAAAAACAAAAAAAAAACACAAGCCTCAACATCGGGGGAGTTGTCGCTGCCGAAAAAACACGCAATTCTCATGGACGCACAAAAGGAGCCTCTCTGCAGAAATATAAATAATTCAGTATAGCGCGTATATAGAGGGAAGCAAAACAAAACAAACGTACAAGAAGGCAGAGAAGAGAAGAAGCCGAGTCGGATCGTCCAAAGCATCGCGTATACCACCGACGCTCACGTATATAACTTTTTAAGCTCCCCGCGTGTATTATGGGGCATTGGCGGCGGTAGCAAGAGGATCGCCCCCCCCCCCCCATTCCTTCCGGAGAATTCTACAATAGATGGTACACCATCTCGTCAGTAGTTATACATACAGTCTGATATGGTGATGTGGATACAGCAGTACTTGCACAATAATAACAATGACGCACAATAATCGTGCTTTACGAGTTTCTCTCTCTCTCTTCTTCTCCCGGCCCTTCCTCCCGATCGAAATAAGCGAGAAGTCGTCGTAGCGGTATGGTCCGTCTGCGCGACACATGTCTTTGCCGTGCGAACGAGTGCGCGCAAAAGTTAGCCCTGGAATCACCGCGTCAGTTTCCTATATACCTACTCTGTACACGTAAAACGCGGTGTCTAGGGGGCGAGCAAAAATAAATGACGTATACTAATGTACTAGCAAAAGAAAAAAAATTCGGGGAGGAGTGCGTCCTATACAGGCCAAAGTGTCGATATTTTTACGATTATTATAAATGGTTTTTAACACAACCGTGTAAAATTTTCTTTTCCAATTCGTAGCATAACAATGATATGAACATAATATGCACCCCGCGT